CGCGGCCTCCCGGTTCCCGGCCTTGTAGTTGTCCCGGGACGTCATGGACTTGAGCTTCTCTCGCAGGTCCGTGTAGCCGCTGGCGGCCGCCATGCCCCCGCGAGACTACCTAGGGTCCTCCGGGGCGGGTGGAGCGCCCGGGCATGGCTCTCGGGGACGCGCCCCAGGCCCCGGGAGCAGGGGCTCCTCAGCGCCGGGCCCCCATCCGCGGCCGGGGGACCGGGCAGGGGGAGGCGAGCGGCCAGGCGCGGGGTCGGGCCTCGGGGTGGCGGGTCATGCAGCGCTGGCGACGACGAGACTTCCTCCTCCTCCACTTTCTCCACGTCCCGGGGGGCAGGGGCGCCGGCAGCGCCTCATGCCGCGGAGGGCCGCGGAGGAGACTCGGCCCGACTCGCGGCCAGACCCTCCGACACCCGGCCCAGCCCGCACTTTAAAGCTCTCCTCACTACGTCACAGGCCGCCCGCCCGACGTCCGCCAGCGCCGCTCCTTAGCGGGCTCCTCGGCGCGCAGGCGCAGAGTCTCCGGCCGCCGCGGCTCGGCGCGCTGTAGGCATGCGCGTGCGTGCGGGCCAGGTCGGCACCGGGGCCAGCGCAAGCGCACAAGGGCACCACTGCTTGTCCGCCGCCCCTCCCCCACTCGCTGAAGGGCTTCGAGGGAGAACTCTCAAACAGCGACCTGCCTCCACGTCGCGCCGCCTCCTGGACCGAAGGGCTCCCTCCGCTGGGGTGCGCTCACGCTGTCAACACTGTTGCTATGCCGCGTCATAGCATCGTCTGAATGCCCTTAAATGTCTCAGCCCCAAGCGCGCAATCACCGAGGAACCGCCACAACCTAGGCAGCCCTATTACCGCCCCCTTTGGCGCGTCCACTTTTTTCATTGGGCCATCGGCCACGCGCCGGGCCAGCCCAGACTGCGGTTTTCACAAGTTGGTTGGTAAGTATGCCTGTCAATCAAACGGTCTCCTTGGCTACTGCGTCCATCATTTAATTAGTTGCGGGGAGGGCGGCGAGGACCCCGAGGAGCGAATGGGTGGCTAAATGAGTGCCTGTACGGAGGCCACACGGGAGGAAATCCCTCGGGGCGCCTAAAGAAACTTCTGACACTAGCGGAAACTTCTCAAACTGTAGGACCGTGAGCATCGGGGCCAACTCTGAACCCAGATGGCGAGGGCTATAGAAGCTGGACGCACGTTGGGAGTTTCCTCCCACCTCCTCCGCTGCCGCCGCGCTGCCACCGCCCGGAGCCGACGTTCCGCTAGTCACGTACCGGTGGCGGCGGGGGCGTGCGCAGCCGCGGGGACGCGCCGCCGGCCCGCGTCGCTCCTGCGGGGGGCTGGATGTGGTATGGGGCAACTCTCCCCGAGACGACAGCGGGAGAAGGAGGCGCACGGATGCGGCTGAGCTATGGGTGTTTATCCAAGAGCATTCAAAAGTTATGAACGAAGCGGATGGCGTGGCGTGGGCAGAGGCGGCTTCGACAAACGGGTTTCTGCTCGAGAACCCCGTAGCTCCCCCGGATAAAGTTCAGCCTCTTTGGTGGGCACTTGACGCCTTTGTTCGGACCCCTTCCGGCCTAGCCTCCTCCGCCCCCTTACCCCTCGTCCTAGGTACACACATACCTATAACACCCTGACTCTCCCGGCCTTTGCCCAGGCAGTTTCTGCCCCTTGGAATACCAGTTCTTCACGCCTGCATTTTTTGTTTTGATGTACTGAGGCTCAAGTCACTTCTGTCTAGCAGCCTTCTCTGTTAAATGGGGTTAATGTTAGTACCCACCTCATAAGGTGATCTTGAAGGTGGAATTAAGTCACATGTTAAGCGGAAGGGATTGGTGATCTCGAATCTGGGCCTCAGTTTCCTCATCTGTCAACTGAGGCTCCCATCAGGCTATCTTAGATTGTGTCTCAATCACCTATTTATCTGTCAGGTTTTTTGTTTTTTTTTTTTGTACCGGGAATAGAACTCAGGACCTTGCGCTTACCAGGCAGGCACTTGTGCCGCTGAGCTGTATCCCCGGCCCCTATCTCCCGGCCCCCGGTTTACAGTGTGGCCAGTTTCAGCTGGCAGCTCTGGACCTAGGCTGCATCAGCGGGGGACAGTGCCACCCGCACGATCCACTTACACGTGGCCTCTTTCACACGGTGATCCACTTGTATTCTGAAACCCTTAAGTGTCTCCTGTGCATTCTTTTCCTTATCGTCCCTCCCTTCACAGTTTAACTTGAGTGAGGAAAAGATTTCAGGGCAGAAGTAGCCTACGGATGGACGTCCTCAGGTATGATCTTTATTTTGAAAACAGGAGAGTCGAACAGAGGGGAGGCTCAGGATACCTCACGCTGCAGCCCAGTACAGTTGTGGAATCCCCGCACTGAGCCAGGCACGGGCCCAGGGACGGAGGGACCCCTCCCAGGGCCCAGCCAAGTGAGCCACTGGCGGTACAGCCCCCTTGGCAAGGGTTGCCTTTTGGGTTTTTTGTTTTTTTTGAGACAGTCTTGCCATGTCGTTCACGCTGGTCTTTTTTTTGTTTTGTTTTCCCCAGTACCGGGAATCGAACTTACGACCTTGCGCTTGCCAGGCAAGCGCTGTGCTGCTGAGCTAAATCCCCAGCCCTTCAGGCTGGTCTTGAACTCACTACATGGCCTAGGTTGGCCTGGAACTCGCGGCGATCCCCTTGCCTCAGCCTCCCGAGTGCTGGGATGGCAGGCGTGCGCCACCACGCCTTGCTGGCAGTGGTTACTTGATTGATACCAGGCGGTCTCCGGTTCCTGCCCTCTTCTCACCTCAGCATGCTGTGCTTGGGAACCTTCCGGGGAAGCCAGCCCAAGGCAGTAGTTGGCTGAAGTGCGACAGTCAGGGCATTTGTGTCAAGGGCTCTTCCTAGGCCTGCCCCGCTGACCTTCCCCACCCCCAGCCTGCAGGATGGACCTCCTAAATCCCTTGCACATTATTACCTTTCCCCCACCCGTGCCTCCACGCCCAGGATCCATGCCACAGAGCTTCCCAACCTCCTGGAGCCTGCAGCAACCTCCCCCGGGGTCCCTGCCTCCTGCAGTCACTCTGTGCCCTTGTGGTGGGGATGCTTTTTCTAAGTACCCTGTCCCCCAATGGCACACTCTCCAGGGGGCCTCATGACTGGGATTAAGTCCTAAATCCATAACACTGTCTGATAAGCCACACCCCATCCCCCCCACAACTTTAGTCTCAGGGCCCCCACATGAGCGAATCCCTGCTATCACCAGGCTGCCCCCCTGGTTTGTAGTTACTTGACCATAAGTAGCTCCAAGTGCCTGGTGTTGTACTTACTGGCACTGAATGGCTGAATGAATAAATAAATTCCTTCTCTGGTATCACTGCTCCTGGAGTTATGCCCCAATTTACCTATCCATCCTCCAATTTCCAAGCCTGGTGCTTCCCCTCCCAAGTTCCCAACACACCAGCACTTCCCACCCTTATCCATCCATTCATTCATTCTTTCATGCACATGACAAGTATTTAAGTGTCTACCCTGTGTTAGGCAAAGTCCAAGGTTCCAGGGGATACAGCAAAGAACAAACATAGTTTTCTGTTTGGAATATTTATTCCTCTTCTTTCCGTCTATTCTTAAGAAACTCTTAGTTGGGGTTGGGGATTTAGCTCAGCGGCACAGCGCCTGCCTGGCAAGTGCAAGGTCATGAGTTTGATTCCCCATACCAGAAAAAAAACAAAAAAAAAAAGGAAACTTTTAGTCTTTTTTTTTTTTTTTGAGACAGTCTGGCTATGCAGTTCAGGCTGGCCTTGAGTTCACTTTGTAGCCCAGGCTGGTCTCAAACTCGCAACGATCCTCCTGCCTCAGCCTCCCGAGTGCTGGGATTAGTCATCTTTCAAAACCCAACCCTAGTGTACCATTCTCTGGGAAGCTCTTTCCCAAACTTCTCACTTTCCACTCACCGCTCTTGAATCTTGGCCCATCCCGGCCCATCCCGCAATGAGGGCACGGGGTTGGGGCTACCCAAGGAGTGCAGAGTAGAGGGCCAGACCCTACAGGACGAACAGAGTCTCTCTGGAAGGGCTGGTCATAGATAGTGAGTGGGGCACAGCTCTGCCTCCTGCCTTGACTTGTCCTGCCTCTTAGCAACTTCATGGAGAAAGTGGCTGCCAGGCACAGAAATGGCCTACGGTCACAGGTCAGGTTGAGAGGCTGCACAAGGTGGGACACACCCGAGGGGGACAGGTGGTGGCTGGGGGGTGCAGCTGGTGTAGATTCAAACATCAGGCCCTGAGTAAACCAAAGGCAGGCTGACGTGGGGTTTCTCTGCCACATGGGCATCAGAAGCAGGGTCTGTGGCGGGCAGCCGGCAGGAGGCCAGGATCCCCTGTAGTTCGGGCCAGGCTTTGACAGTTTCTTCGGCTGTCTGGCCCAAGTCTGCAGGCTGTGACTCTGTCCCAATTCTGGATCAGTCCTCTTGGGGCCTGGGCTCCTCTTTCTTCCTGTGCTTTCCTCCAAGGTTCTGGCCCTTCCAGCGGTCACTGGCTTAACAAGGTCCGGTGGCTTTCCTGAGGCCACACAGGGAGTCTTCCGGCAGAAGGCATGTGGAGGGCTGGGGGCCAGGTCAGAGCAGGGTGATCTCGCTGGGGGGCAGTGTGAGCCGCTTCTCCCGGGCACTGAGCAGGTTCTCCAGGTGCACGGCCACCACACGACATAGCTCCAGACCCTGCAGGGGACACAGTGACAGTCCATGCCCACCTCACTCCCCGCCTTACCCTGGGCGGGATGTGCGGAACGGAGGCATAGATGGGGGAGGGGTGGAGATCCCCATCTGCACAGGAACCCTCCCGCACCCCACCCTTCAGGGTGCATGGAGGATGTGCGCGGAGGAGCGTGAAGAGAGGGAAGGCAGAATGCTGGGCTGCAGGTCAGAAGGGACGAGCAACCAAGGGCCCTGCTGTGAGCGCACTATGTGATCTGAGGCGGGTTACTTCCCCTCTCAGAGATTCAGCAACTTCATCGGTAGGGTCTGAGTTTACCTGGCCCTACCTCTCCGGGCTGGGAAAAGGATGCAGTGCAACTTTATTGCATGTGTGCCCTTTAGATTTTAAAAATATTAATCCGTGGAGTGGGGTGAAGTTCACTCAGGTGAAGGCCCTAACTCTGAGTTCCCGGATTCTACCCCAGCAATCTCCCAAAATTAGTCCAGTCAGTAAATGCTAAGTATCTGGCTATGTGTTGCCATGGTTACCCCCTGGAACCTACAGTCTAGAACGGGGAAGTGACCCAGCCCTTGGGCTCTCAGCTGCAGCTTGGTGGGGAAGGCACCAAGGAGTTTCAGAAAATTGATCTGTGAGTGTGACTCACACACCAAAGCTAGCGAAGGAAGCCCCTCAGGGACTTCCTAGGGTGACAGAAGCTGCTCTAGGCGATGGTAAAACGGTGACAGCTGCACTTACTAAGCGCTCACTGTGCCAGGCTCCCTTTTGAGAGCTTCATGTTTAATCTCTCCAGTGTCCCTAAGAGCACTATGACATCAGTTCCGCAAGTGACGAAACAGGTCCAAAGCTGTGAAATTGTCTGCCCCGCAACTTGCCCCTGTAGGCACGGGGTTTCACTGTGAGTGGTGAGAGGACACTCTGCAGGGCAGGGTTCTTTGTGAGGCTTAGCCGTGACCACCCCAGCTAATTAACTCAGCGTGGGCAATCTTTTGCCTACCCACACCCTGCTGTGTTCTAGGTGCTACCCAACTGGACAGATGTGGAAACTTGAGGCCCCATGACCCCCTCATACAGCTTTTTGGAGGTAGGCAGACTGGGGACCTAAGTCTGTTGGTGGCAGTGCAGCTGAACTCAGAAACCACCTTCCCCTGGGGGCCCTCCCAGGTCACGTTCTGTACAGCGCAGGTCCCCTGGATACCCAGCCCTGATCATGGTTTATTGGATTCTTTCATAGCTGAGGCTCAGGGCTCTTCGAGGGTGAGGGCTGAAGGAATGGCAATCCCATCAGTATTCCTGCAGGCAGGGCTGAGCCTGCTGTACGGAGATGCTCTGCTTGCACCCTCTCCACACACGTGCACACATACAGGATAGGCAGAGGCGGCAGCTTCCTTGCAGAGGCTGCTACAAGGAAGTGCAAAAGTCAAAAAAGTCTTAATCTGTCAGTGCACCCATCTGTTCATCCATTCATCCAGCAAATAGGCACTGAGCATCTACTATGTGCCAGGCACCATGCTGTGGACACAGCAGGAACAAGATGGCCAGAGCCAGCCCTCTGGATGCCAGCATTTCGCTAGGGAGACAAACAATGTGAAAACAAGTATCTAGATGGTTTCCAGGCCATCAAGAGGACCACTGAGAGGGGCCGGGGATTTAGCTCAGCGGCACAGCACCTGCCTGGCAAGCACAAGGTCGTGAGTTCAATTCCCGGTACCGGAAAAAAACAAAAAACAAATAAAAAAAGAGGACCATTGAGGCAGAGGTCATGACTCATTAGGGAGGAAAGCTGGGGAAGGCCTCTACAAAAAGAGGCTCTTTATGCTGAAACCCAAGTAAAGAGGGGGAGGGAATCCTGTGAGGAATCAAGGAAGAGTCTTCCACCTACAGGAATAGTGATACAAAGGGCCTGGAACAGGGAGTGGAGGGCAAGCCCTGCCAGAAGAGGCCAGGGTGGTGGCTGAGTGTAATGGTTGATACACTAGGTCAACTTGGGAAGTTTAGAAGTTCAACTGAGTGACTCAGCAGGGGGCCAGGGTCCTCACTTTGTAAACATCCTCACCTTGTGCAAGAGGAGGGCAGGGAGATGGTGTGAGTGCAGGGCTCCCTCCCGGCCAGGGTAGCCTGTTTACAATATAAAGGAGGAAAAGAGACTTGTTCTCTCCCACCGTTTGACCTTGTTTTTGCTGTCTTGTGCCGCCTTGAACTGCTGCCCCTGTGCCACCCCACCCTGCCTTGCAGCCGGCTGATTATGGACTGAAACCTCCACACACTGTGAGCTAAATAAACCTTTCCTTCCTTAACTTTGGGTGTTGGGTACTTTGTCCCAGCAGGGCGAGGAAAGTAAGGAGACACTAGTGAGCACAGGGCAGAGGCTGGGGTGGGCGGGCACAGTGGTGGGGTATCGAATAAGAGGAGAGCGCCGCCGGAATGAGGATGGGAAAATAAACTAGAGAGGTGTGCTGGCCTCAGGGGGTGATACTGAGGGAGCCTGGATCAGGGCATCAGGGACAGAGACAGAAATAAAGGGCTGTCCCTGTGGCAAAGGTTTTGAAAGCCTTGGGGCCAGATAGCGAGAAACCAGACTGCCACACCCAAGAATGGTCCGGAGAGAGGGCACCAGGAAAGGAGCCACGGAAGGGGAGTCAGGGCAGGCGCGAGGGGCCGGGGAATGCAGGGTCTTACAGAGGGGTTCTGGGAGCGGGGCAAGGCCGCTGGAGGGAGTGTGCGGGTGACCCAGGAGGAGCAGACGTGGGTGTGGCAGAAGGGGCAGGGAGCCTCGGCCGAGTCCAGGCGCACTGAGGGTCTTAGCTCTGCTCCTGCCCCTCGCAGGCAGAAGGGGTGTAGGGGAAGCCACTCTCTTCTGGGAACCTGCCGGCCGTTCTCATCAGGGAATGGGACGGGTCACAGGAGTGTGGCCCAGACCCGATCTGGCTCCTTCTCTGGGCCTCTGTCTTGTCTACTGTGAGGTGAAAACGCTGGTCCTGCCCTGACCCAGGGTCTGTGAAACTCGTACTGCAGCCCAGTCCGTAACTGTGCCTCGTTAGTAGCGGTCACAGCTGAGAAGGCGCAAAGCAGGTGGGTCTCAGTTTCCCTGTCTGTCAAGGGGCTCCCACTTCCCGCAACTGCAGTCCTAGGCCCCACGGTCGAACCTCCCGGCCTCAGCCCCACTCACTTTTCTGAAACCTGTGTTCCTGCTCACTCTCCAACTTTCCCTGTCTCCTCAGGAAAAAGCCCCAGATCTCAGCTTAACGTTCAGGGAGCCTCAAGACCTCCGCTTTTCCAGCTGCGTCTCCCCAGCGTCCCAAATGCCTTACTGTTCCCCAAGTGACCCGGCCCTTTCCCGCGGCCACGCTACCGCCATGACCGGTGTTTCTGTGCCCCGCACTAGGCTGGATGCTCTCTGGGGGACGGCCAGGACCTGACGCCACCCCGCCCGCACCGCGCCCGGAGCGAGGCTCAGGGAGGAGCCTCGAGGGGAGAACCAGGGGGAAGGGCCCGGGCTCACCTGCTCCAGCTGCAGCTGCATAGTACGCTGGGCCACCGCATCCCCCAGCGCGATCTCCACATAGGGATAGCTGGAGTTGGCTGTGGGTCGCTGGGTCCGTGTGGACTGGATCTCCTTCAGGGGGAACTTCACCATCAGTTCCTGGATCAGAGGAGAGGAGCCAGAGAGCCCTGTGGGTGGGGGTAGTCTTCACCACGCCAAACCTTCCCCTGCAGATCCGATCGCAGGCAGGAGGGCCCAGTTTGAGTATCCCTTCCCTAGTGACTTGCTGTGTGCCCTTGAGCAAGTCATTCCACCTTGGATGTCAGTGTCTTCACCTGTGAATCGAGTAATGCTGACGCTGCGCCTACAGTCTGCCGGGCGTGGCTCGTGCTGCTTGGGACACGGGGGTGCAGTGGGTGCTGCTGGTGTCCTGACCTTCACATCAGAGCTCCTTCTGTGAACACCTGCACCCCTTTGTGTGGGGCTTTATTTCTAGCCCACAGAGGAAACATCACACGCAGCAAAGCTAGAGCGACGGAGGGGTAATGGTGCAGAAAGAAGGCCTTGACTGATGGTGGCTGCGGAGTGGTGGTAGACACCCTGGATCCCACCCCACAAGAGAGAAGAGCACGCACTATGCCCAGTGGGCTGTTTGAAGGGCATGCTCTATGCCCAGTGGGCTGTTTGTTATCACTGAAAGTTCTTTTTTGTTTGTTTGTTTTTTTTCTGGTACCGGGAATCAAACTCACGACCTCGCACTTGCCAGGCAGGCGCTGTGCCACTGAGCTAAATCCCCAGCCCCCCACTGAAAGTTCTAAAAGGTTCACCATCACTGCTCTATGCTGTCCTGGGTCCCCAGCTGGACTGACCACCTCCAGTCACCCATATTGACAGCTTACATTATAATGCAGCTTTTATTGTCTCTGCCCCTTCCTGCCCCACTGCCCACTCCAGTGTTTTCTTCAATCACCTCCAAACCCACCCCCACTCACCGCTCCTGAAATCCTCATCCCGAAGCTAAGAAAGAAGGTAAGAGGTCCTTTTTGTGATGGGATGAATTGTGTCCCCTGCAAATTCCTATGTGGAATCTGAGGCCCCAGTACCTTACCTATGACCGTATTTGGAGACAGGGCCTTTAAAGAGGGGGTGAAGGGGCCAGGAATATGGCTCAGGGGTACAGTGCCTGCCTAGCATGTTTGATGCCTGGGGTTCCGTGCCCAGCACCACAGACAATAAATAAAGAGGTGATTCAGTTAGAACAAGGCTGTCCGAGTGGCCCCTACTTGAGCATGAGTGGTGTCCTTGTAGGAGGAGCCTGGCATACACAGAGATGCCAGGGACGGCCACACACAGAGGAAAGGCCACGAGGGCACAATGGGAAAGTGGCCATCTGCAAGCTAAGGAAGAGACCAGGCCCACAGTGTGATCTTGGACTTTCAGCTTCCACAACTATGAGAAAAGAAACCTGTGTTGCATAAACCACTGGGTCTGTGGTATTTTTTTCAGGGCAGCCTGAGCTGACCAGTCCACTGTTTGAAGGCTTAGCATGTGTTTTGCCCCAAGTCCCCTTAAAATCAGCCCTATGGGGTGGATTCTACCATTATGCCCATTTTCCAGATGAGGAAAGAGAGGCTCTGAGAAAGGAAAAGACTTGCTGGAGGTCATCCAGGTGTTAAGTGGTGGAACTCGTCTTCCACAGTTGGTGATCTTGGAAGGGGAGGGGGCGGCACGGCCAGACTGAGGCCACTCACATGGCTGTCGGTGCTGAGGAAGTTGAGGCCGTTGTGGTTGACAGCTAGGATGCATGGGGCTGGTACAGCAAGGTTGCTGCAGCTCTGGATGAAGAAGAAGGAGGAGCCGAACATGGGAAAGGCACTGAGGAGGCCTGCAGCAGGGAGAGGGGCGTCACCAAGTTAGCAGTGCGTCCGTGACACCACGGTCCTCAGCGTCCCTTCCCTCTGCCTCTCCTCCTGGTTTCTCCCTCTACTTTTGATCCAGGCTCCTCTTCACTTCCTGCTCCTTCTATGCAGTCACCCCCAGCCCAGGTGATGCCTTTGCAAAAATAGTAAACGGTCTTCTCTCCAGGCAGGTGGGCGGCTCAGCCGGCACCGAAAATGCCTTTGTGCAAAGCAAAAGCTGGTTCTTCCTCCTCTTCCAGCGCCTCCCCTCATGACGACCTTCCCAGCTGTGTGTCCTGTTCCTGGCTCTTACCCAGGAACTGGGCACGGGCCTGGTGAGGGCTGAGCGCCTGCATCTGCTGCCTGTGCTGGCCAATCAGGTTGAGCCAGGCGGAGCCAGCCATGGTGCAGTACAGCTGGGCCGGGATGTATTCCTGGACCTCCCGCCTGTGTGTGGAGGAGACAAGGTCCTGAGCACCCACCGTTCAGTCCCCGCTGTGCAGCAGGCATGATGCAAAGCAGACGTGATGAGGCACCTCCCTGGAAGACTAAATACTGCAGAGTATAGAAGGGGAATATGGGGGTACCAAGGTTCCCACGGTGCTTGGTACACATCAGGTGCTCAGTCACTGCCAAGGCCAGTTTCATTAGGACCATTGTTTGCAGAGGAAGGGAATGAGCAGTTCACCAGAGTCCAGGGTCCCACAGTGACTGAGTGTGTGGGAAATAAGACTTGAACCCAACATGGGTTTGTCCTTCCTAGCTCCTGCCTCCAAGCAGAAGCCCACGCTGGAGGGGAGCAGGGCAGAGGGCTGGGAGAAACCTCAAGGCAGGCAAAGCGCTACCAGGAAGCTGGGCAGACGATGGGGCAGGCGAAGCTGGGTATCTGGACCGAGTCTTAGGGGACATCAGCCAGGACCACCCCACTTTGTGCTCTAGCACCCGCTTCCCACACGCTGGTTCCCTCAGGGCAACCGTTTTACTCCTAAGGAAATGAAAGATAGCAGCAGTCCTAGCCCAGCCCATCTGGGCGGGTGGGGTGCTGGGAGAAAGTCAGGGATCCCCTCCCCCACAGCTCTCCTTGCTAACCTCCCTTCCTTTGCACTGCTGGAGTAAGAGCCTGGCATCAAGGGGCTGGGGATGCGGCTCAGTGGTACAGTGCTTGCCTAGCATGTGCGAGGCCCTGGGTTCAATTCCCAGTACCACTCCCCGCCACCAAAAAAGAAAAAAGAGCCTGGCATCTGAAGCCAGCTTCCCCAGGTTTGCATTATGCTCCGCCCTCCTGCAACAAGCTGTACTTCCAGAAGCTTCAGTGTCATCTGTGAAAGGGTGTTTGTGTTTAAACAGTGGTTGGGAAAAATAGTTTAAATAATACATATATCGTGGTGCACGCCTGTAATCCCAGCACTTGGGAGGCTGAGGCAGGAGGATTGTCATGAGTTCCAGACCAGCCTGAGCTACAAAGTGAGCTCAAGGCCAGCCTGAGCTGCATAGCAAGACCTTGCCTCAAAAAAGACAAAAAAAAAAAAAAAAGTAAAAACCCAACAGGTGTGGCGGCTCATCCCTGTAGTCCCAACTACTACGGAGGCAGAAGCAGGAGGATTACCTTTTTGTTTGTTTTGGTCTCACTATAGTTCAGATTGGCCTTGCACTCACTGTACTGCCTAGGCTGGCCTTGAACTCTGGTGATCCTCCTGCTTCAGGCTCCCAAGTTCTGGGGTTACAGGGGCGCACCACCACACCAAGGTCCTTTTATTATGACTTACACCAGGGGTTCTCAAAGTGTAATCAAGGTCTTGGAGGTCTGAGCTGGGAATAGGGGCGCGCACTTGTAATTCCAGCACTTAGGAGACTGAGGCAGGAGGACTGCCACAAGTTCGAGGCCAGTCTGAACTATATAGCGAAGAAAAGTGTCTGAGAGGTCAAAACCATTTTTATAACAATACAAACATGTCTTTTGCTTCCTTCCCTCTTATTCTCTCACAGTGGTACCGCAGAGTTTTCTCTGGCTGCAAGGCAGGTGAGCAGATCTACAAACCCAGCTCTCTACTACCGAGTCAGACGGGAAGAGGCTTCACGAAGTGTGAAACAGAGCCACTCTTTTCACTGATTTTAAGTAGATACTTTTCATAAAATGTCATTTATATAAACATGTAGTCGTTTTTTTCTTTTGAGACAAAGTCTCACTATATAGTTCAGGATAGCCTTGAACTCACTATATAGCCCGGGCTGTCCTCAAAGTAGTAGTGATACTCCTGCCTCAGCCTCCTGAGTACTGGGATTACAGGTGTATAACACCACATCTAGCTCATTCTTATTTTTGAATTAATAAATCTGTGGGCTTTTCTGTTTTTGAGATACAGGATCTCACTAGGTTGCCCAGACTGGCCTTGAACTTGAGACCCTCCTGCCCCAGCCTCCCAAGTAGCTAGGGCAACAGGAATGTAACACTATGCCTGGCTTAAATCTGTGTTTTTTGTTTTTTCTCAGTTTTAAATTTGAATAGGGTAAATATATCAATGTATAATAAACAAAGATTTTAGGATCCTTTTTTCTTTTTCTTTTGTTCTGTGTGTGTGTGTGTGTGTGTGTGTGTGTGTGTGTGTGTAGTGTTAGAGATTGAAACCAAGGTCTCCTGCATGCTAGGCAAGCACTGAGCTACATCCCCTTGGGATCCCATTTTTCAAGTGAGTAAAATGTCCTGAAAAAATAAGTCCTGAGACCAAAAATCCTGAGACTGATATTTTTTTGCTATCGGGAATCAAACTCGGGACCGTGAGCTTGCCAGGCAGGTTCTGTACCTCTGAGCTATTTCCCTATCCCCTGAGACCAATTTATACTCTGAGTGCTGATCACATCTTGGAGACATCAGCTTACTTAACGAACCCGCTGTTATTGGATATTAAGGCTGCTTCCAATCTTCTGCTGTTGTCAGTGAACGTTTTTGTGGCTCAAGCTGCATAGCCGTGTGTATTTCCTGGACTACAAGGTGTGTGCGTCCTGAAACCTTCTTTAAATGGAAGCACTCAGCTTCTTTGCTCTGAACTGTTAATACCAGCCAGAAGCAACTTGTCACGGAAGGGAGTCCTGGTCCTGGCTCCTATAGTGAACTGCAGAACTTCAGGATTATGAAGATGAAGACAGCCCTTTCCCAGACAGCTCCCTCCCTGCAAGAGGGGAATCCTGGAGGCTGGAATGGGCAGTGGGCAGCTCTGAGGACAGAGGGTCAGGCTGAGAGGGTGGGTAGGTGCTTACACGCTGGGCAGGTAGAGGTGGTCTCTGGCCCGGTGCTGCAATGAGGCTAGCTTGGACACCTGCTGCAACTGCTGCTCGCTGGGCCGGCTGGCTGGCACGCTGCTGAAGAGGCCCTTCAGGTAGTCGGGCAGCACCTGCGGGGAGCAGTCATGTGAGGGGCTGTTCGGCAGGCACGTCCAGGCATTTACCTGCAAGGGCCATGGAGACGGGCGTTTCGGAGTCCAGCCCCATCTACTTCTGGGGTAGGACGGTCTGTCACTTTCCCGAATGATGACAGAGGCATATGACGGGGAGCTGTGAGGGCTGCGGCCTCAAAGCCTGCAGTGGGGTCTCCGTAGTAATGTGAAGGGTGTGGGCTACTGAAAAGCAGAGTATCAGGACCGAGATTGCAGCTCAGTGCTACAGCACTTACCTAGCATGTGGAAGGACCTAGGATCCATCTCCAGTACCCGCTCCCCCAGCATAATAATAAAAGCAGAGCATCATTACTGTGGTCATCACAAGTGCCCATTAGGTCTGTGTTTCTCAAAACTGGAGCTTGCTGCAGAATCACTGAGGGACTTGTTAAAACAACTGCAGGGCTGCACCTCTGAGATTCTGATTCATAGATCTGAGGCAGGACTTGAGGGGTTTTATCAGGTTTTTGGTTGCCCTAACCCCACCCCAGTCTCGGAACCAAGGTCCAGCTTCAACGGGGACACCGTGTGGCCACAACAGCTAAGTGGCTGTGTTTTGCGCATGGAATTGCTGAAGCTTTGGTACCTGTTCCACAGAAACAGGCTGTGGCAACTGACCTCACAGGCCCCCAGGAACCCACAGGGTCCCAGAGTGGCAGATGGGCCACGTGCACTGACCTGGTTGTAGTGCATAGTCACATACAGCTCATTCTCGAACTTGAGCGGCTGATCCCAGAGTATGCGCCGGAACCAGAGCATGTAGCCACCATCCACCTGCTCCATCTCTGAGGCCACGTCCAGGATGTAGGCACAGCGGCTGAGCGGGCACACGTGCTGGCCTGCCGACAGTGGGGACCCAGCACCGGGTGAGAGACACTTACGTACCTGTGTGGAGGAAGGATGCAGACCCCAACCTGCCACCCAGCTGACATGTCACCTCCAAGAAGCTACCTCCCCACTCTGGGACATGCCTTCCTCACTAAAAGGGAGCACATATCCTTGTAATCCCAGATTACAAGGTCTGCCTCTGGGAAGCTGAGGCAGGAGGATTGCAAGTTCAAACCCAGCCTGGGCAACTTGTTGTTTTATGAAAGCCTGTCTCAAAAAATAAAAAGGGCAGGGGATATAGCTTAGTACAAAGGCCTTGAGCTCAGTTCCCAGTACTGTTTAAAAAAAGAGCATATTCATGCAACAGAGCGCTTTGTGTTTCACTGAAATGTACATCATTTCAAAGATGCAAGTGATGTTTCTTCTCCCATGGAAGGCTCCCTAACAGCCTTAGAGGGTAGCCTGCCTGGGCCTGGGCAGACACCCTAGGTTACGCTTGAGAAAGTCCAGTCCCATTTCACAGGTGGCCAGGGGTGGGGAGAAGCACAGCAGGTTCTAACCACAAGCCCCAGGGGCTGCCTTTTGGCAGACCTCCTTTGAAAGGCCCCAGCGGGGCCCCTGGTACAGGTGGAGGTGGGAAAGGTAAGCGTTGGAGGTGCGAGATTTTCTTTCCTGCACTGACATTTGTTTGACCAAAGAAGGGGGTTTGGCATGATTATAGGAGTTGAGCATCAGAAGGCCAGACTGGGGGGTTCAAACCCGCACTGTGTGACCTTGGGTACGTTATTTAGTTTCTGTGGTCAGGTGATAACTGTCCTTCCAAAGACATCCAGCCCTGATCCCCGGAATTTGTCACTACGGCATCTTCATGGAAAAAGTGATGCAGATTTGATTAAGGGTCTTGAGAAGGGGAGATTATCCCCGTCAGATTACCTCAGTGGACCCAATCTAAGCATAGGGTTTTTCTGCGGGGGGCGGGAGAGTCAGAGTCAAAGCAGTGGGAGGATGGAAAGAGAGGTTGGGGGCCAGGAAAGAGAAGGATTCAAAGACTTCACCCCTTCAGCTCTGGAGATAGAAGAGGAGGCAGTGAGCCAAGGAACACGGCAACCTCCAGAAGCTGGAAGGGGCAAGGAACATGATCCCCTAAGGCAGTGGTGGCGAACCTATGCCACAGAGGGCTGCTTGTTACCACTGAAACTTCTAAAAAGTTTGCCATCACTGCCTAGGGCAACACGGCCCTGGAAGCAACACAGCCCCGACGACACTCCCATTTCAGGACTTCTGACTTTCAGAACTGTAAGATAATAAATCCCTAAGATAATAACAAAACTGTAAGGTAATAAATCTGTGTTGTTGTAAGCTGCTGAGTTTGTGATAATTTGTTATGACAGCTGCAGGAGACTACCAGTAATACCGTCTCTCTGGAGGGAGCCTCTCGGCCACTCACCCACTCACCTCGGTTGGTGACAACGAAGAGCACATACTCATCGAAGGCCTCTGGGCGTGTCAGAGCCATCTCAGCACAAATCTCCTCCACCACGTCCAGGGCCACCTGGGGTGGGGCAGGAAGGGCAAGGCTGTGCCAGCGGGGCCTGACCTCTGCCCCACCAGCCCCACCCAGCCCCAGGAGCTGAGTGCAGAATTCCTCAGCTTCCCTTCACAGAGGTGCATGATCCTCTGAGGTCTCAGAATCTTCCGCATGCAGGGAGAGAACACAGCCTCTGGAGTCTAAGCCTTAGGTTCGAATTCTGCCTTTGTCCCTACTTGCAGTATGACCCTGAGCTGGAGGCTTAACCTCAGAGGCTTAGCTTGCTTTTCTGAGAAATACAGTCACTCCTTAGTATCCAAGGGGGACTGCTCCAGGACCCCTTCAGACACCAAAATCCAAGGACGCTCAAGTTCCTCATCCAAGATTGTGTGAATTTGCATATTATCCTTAAACATCCTGTCACAGACTTTGAACCATGTCTACATGACTTATGATGCCTAAGACAGTATCAATGCTATATAAGTGGTTGTTTTAATGTATTGTTTAAATGTATTGTTAGAGAAGAATGATAAGAAATCGATACATGTTCAATTCAGATGTAACTTCTTTCTTTAGTTTTCTTGAGACAGAGCCTCTCTGTATAGTCCAGGCTGGCCTTGAACTCACTATTGTAGTCTAGACTGGCCTTGAACCCAAGGCAATCCTCCCGCCTCAGCCTCCTGGCTGCTGGGATTACAAGCACGCCCACTATTGCCTGGCTCAGATGTAACCTTATGTTTTTCAAATTTTTTTAATCTGCAGGTTCAGAACCTGTGAATATGGAGGGTCAAATGTATGTCTTGCCTTGTGGGGTTTAGGAAAGCCTCTGAGGGTCTCAGCACCTTGGGGGCTCACTCAACCTGGACCCCAAAGACTGGGGTGTCCCTTGCCCTTCCAATGCCTGCCTGCTAGGGGCATCCCCTCACTCACAGTGCATGTTTTGATTTTTAGATGGCGTTCAAGGCCTCCGGGAAGAAGGAAAAGCTGCCTCTTGGAACTGCGACCTGCCTGGGGGATGAAGCAAGAGAGGGAAGAGGAGCTGGGTGCTGGGATCTGAGACAGCTGTTGTCCCTTGCTACGGGAGGCCCCAAGCCAGGGGGTCCTGGGCACACGTGTGTGAGAGCCCTGGTGCCCCTAGCAGGGCCCGTCTGCAAGCCTGAGCAGTACATGTGCACCCAGCGTTGGGCTCTCCGGGCAAGTGCGTGTCTCCTGCTCACCGCAGCTCCCAGCCCCACACCAGCTCACCAACATGGCCCGGAGCTCCATGCTGCTGGGGAGCTCCAGACGTCCCCCGAAGCGCAAGGTCTTCTTCAGGTTCTGCTCACAGGCCTTCGCAATCCCTACAGGGGGAGGGGTGGAGACCTTGCTCAAGGTCAGCAGTGGAGAAAGGGGCTCTTCTTGTCCCCAGCCATGAGCCCCTTGGACTCTCTCTACAAACTGCAGGACCAGCATTTCCTTCCCCATTTGATAGCGCAGGAATCTGAGCTCAGCAAGGGCCATGATTTGCCCAAGGTCAAGAGCTGGATTAGAACCATACCCTAAGAGGTCACAGCCTGCTGTCTTTACCTTGGCTATGTGAGCCTGGAAACAGCTGTGACCCTGAGCTGTTGACTGGGACTTCATCCCCAACAGGCTCTGTGGCGCGGGTAACACACTCCGCCTCGGACAGCTGGGCCCCTTGCCAACTGCCCGGCCTCCCCCAGGCACTCAGAGACCCCACCATGAGGCTGCAGGCCTCTGGGCTCAGAGTGCCCTCATTCTGCTCTGGGGAGGGGCCAAGAGTTCTGGGGCACATTCTCCTGCTTCCTCACATCTGGGAGCCCTTCCCTGGGGAGCTGGGTCTGTTTATCTCTGGGTCAGGGCATTTTTTTTTTCTTGTTTTTTTTTTTCCAGTACCGGGAATTGAACTCACGACCTTGCGCCTGCCAGGCAGGCACTGTGCCGCTGAGCTAAATCCCCAGCCCTGGGTCTGGGAATATTTTTAATTGACTCAGAGGGAAAGACTCAGAGGCAGGAAGGGTGAGGTCTCCTGTCTCTATGCCGGCCATCGCTGCGGGGTGAGGAGAGGCCCCCAGCCTCTTTCTTAGGGGCCCTCGGGTTGCTGTGGAAAGAAAGCTGGGAAGCAGTCGCTTGCTGCCTGCTGGAGAGGGCAAAGGAGAGGCCGTGCCACCAACTCTGGGCCCACTGAAGACCCTGTGGAGTCCCAGCAGGCACTGGCTTCTTGCCCACCTCCTTCCCTGCCTCCCCCATGTGCCACATACTCCCACCTTTAGGCCTCTGCTCCAGCCCTCAGTCTACCTGGGAATCCCTCCTGTGAGGTCACCACCTAGGCCAGCGTCTCCTCCAGGAAGCCGTCCCTGACCGCCCCCACCCTGACATCAGGTGACCCACACACCAGCCCCTCTGGGAACTCCACGAATATTAACATTGCCCCTAGGGGCTGGGGATTTAGCTCAGGGGCACAGCACCTGCCTGGCAAGCGCAAGGTTGTGAGTTCGATTCCCGGTACCGGAAAAAACCCAAACAAAATAAAACAAAACAAACATTGCCCAGCACCTTCCAAGGGCCAGACCCTTTTGGGTTTCTCTCCCACCAGCTGCCTGCCCTGTCCCCACCGGGGATATGTGCAGCCTTAGGTCCCCGTCATGGGCTCCTCACCCTGGAAGGGCAGGCCTGGGGTCCTGCTCACGTGCTGGAGAAAGCGCATGAGGTGTGGGTAGAGGACCTCAGAGCAGCTGTGGTAGGCAGCCATGATGTACAACAGCCTCCAGCCTCGCTGGCAGCTGTCCCTGGAAGGACACATGCAGGCCTCATCACAGCGGGCCACAGCACCACAGGGCGTGCCAGGAGCCTCCTGAGGCTTAGATCTGAGGCTGCTCCTGTTCTCTGAGGACATGCCTCCTGGACAGTGAGTGCTGGGCAAGTGGACCCTGAGGCCATGCAAAAGCATATTCTGCCGGGGAAGCCAGGTGGAGACTGGGAAGGAAAAGGATGAGGCCCCAAAGTCTTTTCTGAGCAAAGCGTCTTTCTGGGGAGCCTTCTGGGCAAGCCAGAAGCTGCTGAGGCTCTGCAGAGGAAAAGGCTGTAAGTCCTGGGGACAGGCAGCGTGCTCAGCACACTGGGCACCTACGGTGCGCTGGCTGGCCCCGCACGAGCAAAACACAGAAACTCATCTTCACGCTGCCCCGGCTGTGGAGGCTGCATCTGTGGGCACCTCTGGTGTCTGGGAAGAGTACCTGCGTTTGTTTACACAAACTGCTCATCCTTCTCTACATTCCTGTAGTCTGCAGCTAGGCATGGGAATCAGGTCTGGCCAATGAGAATATTGCAACCCCAACCCCAACCCCTGGCCACAGGCACTGGTTTAGGAATGGGCAGGACTGGACAATGAGAGTTCAAACCCAGGTCTAAGCAGTCAACCCTTGGTCTACTCCAGCCAGTCGGTTGGTTCAAGGACGAGCCTGTGACCAACTCCAGGCAATAAAGTTGGATTTGGGAGTTTCCTCAGCAAATACTGGATCAGTTTTGCTTTCCCTGGGATCGCTGTATTGGGCACATGTCTCCCAGCACTGTCACTTTGTTAATCTGTGAGAGAGACCGCTTGAGAATGATATCCACATAGAGGAAAGCAGAGCCAAGAGATGAAGGAAGCCTGGCTCCTAGTGACACCTAGATACAGCTATACCTGAAGCCATACACTCACTGACATTTTAGCCACCCAAACCAGTAAGTTCCCTCTTTTGTTGAAACAAGTTGATCCAAGTTTCTGTCATCTAAGAATCTGAACAAAAAGGGATAGGTGTAGGGAGACAGGGGATGAGCTGGCCCCTCCTGGAGCCTGGACACAGGGGGGGTTGGGGGAGCCCAGACGACTCACGGCTTGGAGCTGGTATTGTCTGTGATCTGCTTCACAATTTGGCAGTAACACTCATCTCGCATGACCTCATGGTCCTCACAAAGCTGAAAGAGGGCAGGCCGGGTCACATGCCAGGAGCTGTTCAACATACCAGGTACAGAAGAGCAGCCTAGGCACTTAGAGATAGGCCTGGTGCCCCTTCCCCAACCCCTCTTCAAGAGCAGGGTGCTGTCTGGGCCATGGGAACAGCTTCCCACCCTGACGTCCTGCAACTCTGGCTGACAGACAGGGAAAGAGAACCACAGAGCAAAGGGAACCTCAGCAAAGTTGCTCAGACTGACCTTCAAGAGGGTGTACAGCACGTCCAGTTCACTCTGGCCCTTCAGTGGGGCGTCCCCCATGAACCTCATCACAGCTGTAGGAAAGACCTACCCGGCTCAGGCCAACCAAGTCCCAGCTGCCCGACCCCAAGGGTCCCAGGGTCAAACCCTCCCCAGGGGGCTGTGGCCAGAGGCAGCTGGGGGCTTCCATTTTCTTCAACATGTCCCAAGTCTGGGCTGGGAGAGGGAAAGAATCTGAGGACCAGAGAGGGGTGATGACAAGCGGGGTCACACAGTGGCATCCCACGGGTGATGGCTGCGGCCCCCCATACCTAGGAACATGTCTGTGGCCATCTTGTTGAGGCTGCTGTCACTGAGCTCAATGAGGGATTCCTGGAGTGGGGTCTGTGCCGGAAGGAAGCAGCTGTGTTACCACGGGCTGCTCAAGATAGAAGGGAGCCACCTCGTCCTAGTAGGCCCATGTTACAAAAGGGGAGTCAGGCCCGACACTGGGCTCAGAGGGCTGCCCCCGGAGCAATCCTGGCTCCTCAGGCACAGGAGCTGGAGAGTCTCCTGAGGTCAAGCTTGTTTGTCCCGGCGTGGGGGAGGAGGTGTTTGCATCACACTTTACAGATGGCGGAATGGAGCCCCAGGACTAGAGACCTTGGTGAAGCAAAGCATGTCCTCCAAGGTCCTGGACTCCCGGCCCTCCTTGAACTTCGGCCTGAGGCCATCCCTGCACAGGAAGGGGGCGCAATTGACCAGCCTTGCCTCCTTGTCCTCAGCAACACCTTCTCCCAAGTGGGAATGTTCTTGACCCACCTGTGCGGTCAGTCTACAAGGCAGCAAGGCACCCAGCGGCTGAGGCTGAGCAGACCTCAGGTGCTGCCAGGTGCTCTCCCACCCCGCCCGCCCCACCCGCAGGTCTGGACAGCAGTCAGACTCCCAGAGGAGCCTTCCTTGCTGTGGGGAAGGGGGATGGGACCGCTACTCACTGGGGCCGCCTCTGAGGGTCTCGGAAATACTTCTGGGCAAACTCAAGCATTGCATACGGTGAAAACTCCAGGGCATCCTCGCCTCGGTCAGCAGAACGGGCCCTAACTGGGGGACCCTGCATGGAAAGGGGAGCTAGGAAGGCCTCTCTGGCCACACCCTACCTGGCCCTCCCGTCAATGATTGAAGGCCAGTCCTCACTGACGGAGCCCACCCTCTCTAGCTGCCCACTCATTAACCCATCCAGGCATCTGGACCTCCAGTGTCCACTGGGCTTCACCCCTTCCAGCCTGCCACACCCACCACATTCGGGCTGAGCCGCCTTGTGCCCCTCTAAACCTCCACCAGGCCAGCCCCTGCGTGGGGCGGCTGCTTTGTCAAGGTTGACACCACCCTTTGCTCCAATATTTGCACTGACTCCACCCCTTGCTCGCTCCAGCCCACAAGCCTGCCCTGCCCCAGCCGCCCGGCTCAGGCCCACCCCAGGCTGACTTCTCCCACTGACTGGCCGAGGCTGATCCCGCTCCTCTGCTCAGTTTACAGCCAACCGGCCCCTCCCACCCCTACCTCATTTGGACACCCCTCCAGTCACCTCTGGTCTATCTCATGGGTCCCACTTCTGGCTGCTCTATTCCAGGACCGGCCATGCTTCTGGCTGACCTGATGGCTTCTACCACGGCAGTCAGGCTAGCCCTCCTTAGCCCTCGTGGCCTGGTCCCACCACTGGTCTCACCTCTCTCCTGCGGCCCACCTCCTGTGCAGCAGCTGTTGAGGCCACAGCAGCAGCCACAGCTGCAGCGCGGCCCCGGCCCGGCTCCGCTGGTAGCTGCAGGAAGTCAGGGGCAGCAGCAGGCTGCACTAGGTCAGAAGGGAAGCGGCCCACGCGCCCGTGGATCGTCCCAAATCGCCAGCCTAGCAGGCGGGAAAAGGGGTTGTGCACAAATGGAAGGTCTTTGCTCGGAAAAAGAGAGACCACCGGGTACTTCCCTGAGCCCTCCCTCGAGCGCTGTAAGGGAGGGCACGCTGTCAGTCCCGCCACATGAGCACTACGCCACTAAGCTACATCTACATCCTTCATCCAGCCACTGTAGAGCTGAGAAACAGACTCAGGGAAAGGAAGAGGTGGGCCAAGGACCATAGCGGGAGATGGAGCGGAAGGGCAAAGTAGCACTTGAGAACTCTCAGGACATGCAGAGACACAAAGCAGGGCCTGAGCCGTAAACATAAAGGCACTGCGCCCGCAGACACCCCTCAGCCACATCTGCAGGCAGAGGGTTGGGCTGTATGGCTCCCACCAGCCACTGCCGTGCTGGGTCTTACGAGACCCAGCCAGGGCAGAATGCTTTCGGGCACCAGGAAACTCTCGTCATGCACCTGCAGTACGAGTGTGTGAAACTAGGATGAGACCTATTCAGCGCTCCAGGTTCGGAGGTCGCCTTGGGTTACCCACCGAAGTCAGGGCCTCTGCGCTGTAGCTCCTCCAGGTAGACCACCTTCTTGCGGACCACACAGCCGGCGCTGTACCCTGTGGGCCAGCTCAGGTCAGCATCTGCCAGGGAGGCCCTGCCTCTCTCCTCCCCCTGCCCGACACATAGCTGCCCCCCCCCACGGTGCTGACCCACTCGAGGCGGCTGCAGGGGCTGCAGGTGGATGATGTCACCCTTGTGGAAGGCCAGCAGCGCTGGGTCCTCAGGCAGGAAGTTCCTCACAGCGACCACATAGTCAGACTCCTGGGTCAGCCAGGGACAGGGTGAGGAGATGTGGTCCCCTCGCGCCCTTCTCCGAGGTTCAGCTTTCCCCCGGGCTCCTCCCGCTCTCCCCATTACATGAGAGAAGGGAGCGCGCCCTGGGTGAGAGCAGGAAGCACAGCCCAGGCGGGAGGCACAGCTTGTGCAAAGGCCCAAGGCATACAGGAGCCTACGGACACAGGCCCCGGCGCACACACGGGCATTCTCGTTTCTTCTGCTGGGATCGATGCAGGGCAGGAGAGCCTTGTGTTGGGTGCCTCCATGCTGGGCAGTGAGGGGCATCTGTGAGAGGATGCTGACCTTCTTCAGCTCCAGAATGAAGTCGTCCACTAGGGTCTTGACCTGGTGAGCTCGGGCTGAGAAGAGGATGACCTTCTCGCTGGCTAAGTTGAACTCCAACATGTTCTGCGAGGGCATGGTCACAAACAGGATGTCTGCAAAGCTGGGGGATGGGAAGATGGCATGAAGATGGCACGGCCGGAGGGAGGTTCTCACTGTCCTCTCCTGTTCATTCTGTTTCTTCCCCGCCCCGTCCCTGAAGCCCAGTCCCACACCAGTTCCCACGGTGCCCAAGGGACCCCCTTCCTCCCCTCTGTGATTCTCTTCCACAGCTTCTCTTCATCTCCTTTCACCCTTGACCCTTTGCCCACACAGATCTCTCTCTGTCTTCTAAAGCAAGAAGTTTCGCCTAACCAGCTATCAAGGCTCTTCCTGATCTTGTGTTGGAAAGGGCAAAAGGCCTTCTCACTGGAAAGGAAGTCTGAGCACCCACTAAGGTCTCACAGCCAGGGCACTGCTTTCCTTCCCAGCTGCCTCAGGACTGGGGTGCTTACAGCCCAGTCACCCCCCCTGCACAGCGAGCTTTGAAGGGCAGGCAGGTCTGCTATGTGGTCTGAATGGCAGGACAGGGCAATGGGGGTCCTAAGTCAGCCACTTCTTTCCTGTGTGACTTGACAAGCAACTTCTTTCTGAGCATCGATTTTCCAGATTCTAAAATGACCATATTGGCCGGACGTGGTGGCGCACGCCTGTAATTCCAGCCCTCGAGAGGCTGAGGCAGGAGGATCATTGCGAGTTCGAGGCCAGCCTGGACTACAAAGTGAGTTCAAGGCCAGCCTGAACTGCATAGCGAGACCCTGTCTCAAAATGACAAAAAAAATAAAATAAAATAAAATAAAATGGCCATATTTAGAGCTTAATACATCACAGGTAAGCAGCTCGAGATCAGAATGAGGGAATGCGGTGTCAGTCTGTGCCCTGGTCCCCGGCCAGTCCCGCTCCCACCTGCCTGCCCATCACCTGTATGCACGCAGGACTTGGAGCTGCCCGCTGGCCTCCTGGCCGCTCTTGACCATCCGAAGGAGTTTGATGCCTGTGTGGGACACGGCTAGGATCTGCACACCAGTTCCCACGCTGCCCTGGGGCGAGGAAGAAAGCACATGAAGGTCTCTGAGCCTCAGCCCTGAATGCCCTGGCAGCTGGGAGGGGGCAGGTAGGGGTTCGCACCGTGGCGGGGAAGAGGCGCGAGAAGTAGATCTCCCAGCTGTCTCGGGCGGTGTCGACCACAGCCCGCTTGACACTCTCTGTTACCAGAGGCTGCTTTGCATCCAGCTGGTTCTGGGCTAAGACAGTCATCGGCTCAGGACCCCCTCTCCCTCCCCTGCCAGCCCGCATCCCGGGGAGCTCAGGGACAGTGGCTGACACCCAGCAGGAAAGTAACTGACCGGCGTCCATACTGGGAAACAGAAAGCCAGAGATGAACAAGGTATCTGGGACCACACTGTATGTCAGGGACTGCTGGCTTCAACCATGCAACCTGGCCACGTGAGGGCCAGAGCCACGCAAGGAGGGGCACACCTGAGGGGTAGGTGGGCGGGGCCTGTCTGCACGAGCTCCCTCTGGGAAAGGGCCTGCCGTGGCTCTGGGTAGCTGCCCCACTACCACCCCTCCCCGCCACCATACCAAAGAGGGCCTTCATCCTGAGCCTCTCATCCTGGGAGATGCGCACGCAGGCCTCTGAGAGTGTGTCGTGCAGGATCTGCAGGAACAGGCCATGGTTTGGGACACGCCCAGCCAGGAACCAGGCTGGGGTGTTCTGGGGTGCAGAGAAGCGGGGCATCCCATTTTGCAGCAGATGCAAATTAGATCCTCTTCATAAATTAGATTCTGCTTACAGGGATCCTCTCCCTTCCGCCTCGGCAATTCTTTCTGCCCTTCCCAGGCCTCAGTTTTCTTATCTGTCCAGAGGGGCTTGGATCGGACCCCACCTAGTTCAGACAGACTGTGACTCCGGTTCAGCTGAAGTGTGGGCTCACTGGCCGCGTCCAGGGGGCCGGGCATTCTGCAGGAGGTCTTCCCACGCCCAAGGACCCCACCCGCCAGAATGTGAAGCTGAATCTGGAGGCCATGGTGCCCCTGCCCTGTGAGTACAGGGAAGCAGCAAGGGAGGAGAAGCCTCACCTGCCGGAACAGGAGGTCTAGCTGCACAGGGTGGCTGTAGCTGTCCTTGGGGTAAAACACCTGCGGGGAGGGCTTCCGTGAGTATCCTTAACTGCCCCCGCATCTTGCTTCCCACTACCCCACTCCTCAGAAGACGCCCCACTCCTCCGCAGCCCCTCCCGGGCTCTGGCTCTGCCCCTAACTCTAGCGCCACCCACCCCATTCTCCTGGGCCAGCACCCCAAGTCTCCCCACGCTTCAGCTCAGCGCATCCCTTCCCCTGGCTCCGGCCTGGGCTTGCCCGGGACCTCTTTGCGCAGGAAGATCCGCCAGGGGGCGCTCTGGTAGCCGTAGAAGTTGGGGTTGACGAGGCGATGCAGTCGGGTCTGCACGGGTTCCTCAGGGGGCTCCAGCGACCTGGAAGGCAGCGCTGAAGAGAGCAGAGGGGAAGTGATGAGCAAGGAGGCAGGCGGGGGCAGGCGGGGGCAGGCGGGCGGGGAGGGAACCCGGGAACGACCACGAGTCCTAGACATCTGCTCAGGTGGGTGCACTGATAGGACCCAGGCCTCTATTCTTCTGGTGGGGTGCAGGGGGCGCCTAGCAACAGCACTAAGGGCTGAGACTGCCTCGGTCAACGAGATAGGCTCGGGCCCTGCTCTTGACTTCGGAGTCTCCGAGCAGGTGCAGGGGAACGGACCATTAGGAAACAAGGCTTTTAGCGATAGGGGCGGGGGCGGAAGTACAGTGGGGTGATGCAGGAAAGGGTCATGGGAGAGCTGGTGTGGGATGGTCCCGCAGAGCAGGTGGCATCAGAAAATCTCTCTGAAAACATGATACTTGAGCTGAGACCTAAATAATGAGAAGGGGCCAGGCATTCAGAGATGGCGGGGAAGAACATTTAGGCAGAAGGAAGGGCGAGTGCAAAGGCCCTGAGGCAGGAGAAGGCTTGGTGCACACCAGCCATAGAATTGCCAAAGGATGGTGGGAGGAGATGAGGATAGGGCGATGGGTAGAAAGATCATGCAGGAGGCTCTCAAAGACCACAGGGAAGAATTTGGCATTCATGGCAGGAGCCACTGGAAGGTCTTTGCCAGGCACAAGTGAACTGACTTTTTTTTTTTTTTTGTACTGGGATTTGAACTCAGAGCCTCATGCTTGCTAGGCAGGTGGGTGAAATGACTTTTATATTTTAAGATCACGTGGCTGCCATGAGATAGAGGTTACAGAGGTTAGGATTCCAATTGTAATGCCAGGATGCCTGGTTTAAGTCCCCGATCTGACACTTTTGAGCTATGCGACCTTGGCCAAACCACTTGTCCTCTCTGTGCCCCCACTATGTAACCTGCAGGAACACCTGCCTTAATGGGTCTGAGGAGGATTAAGGGAGGCCAGGGTGGGCCTGGCCTGAAATCAGTGGACTTCACTGTGGACATAGATATCAACGTCCACATGATACACACATGGGCCGAGGAATGCAGACACACACACCACTGACACTCAAGTTCCCCTGCACTCAGATTCACCCCCACACCAGGACACCTGCCTGCTCATCCTCCGCCCCCTTCTCCCGCTCACCTGGAGCGGGCCCCATGGACGTCTTTGGTGCGCTGGTCACTGGCTTCACCAGGGCCACAGCCTCTCCGGACACCTGTCCCACCCCAAAGACAGTGCTCAGCGGGCAACGCGTGGGCCCCGTGGAGGGTGGCGGCGGGCCAGGGCTGGCAGTCGAAGCTGGTTTCCAGGACTCCCCAGCAGCCCCTCCTTGTCCGTTCCCTCTGGGGTCAGCCCGCCCTGCTCCCACCTGAGTGCCTGGTGCTGCCGCCCGCTGAGCCATCTGCCCCTTCAGGAGCACCAGGGCCTCCTCGTGAGGGTCAGGCCGCTTCAGGAACACTTTCCCGCCGTCCTTCCTGATAAGGGAGCCATGGTGCACTGGACAGAGGCCCACTCCCACACACCGCCCACCATCACCCCCATCGTTAGAAGTGACAGCCAGAGAGGAGCAGAAGCCGGCCTGACGTCACAGCGCACAAGGGAGATGACAGCAGTCTGGGCTGCCGGGGTCACTGCCATAAACAGACCCCTCCCTCGAGGGGGACTCTCAGGTGCAGTGAGAGACCACAGGCCAGGGCCTTGGAGGGCAGGCGCTGCTGACCTGAAGGTCTCAGGGCGGCCCCCACGCAGTGGCTGCTGGTACTGCCTGACGATGTCCCGGATCTGCTGCGTGGGCTGTGGAAAGTGTTCCGAGTTGAGCGTGGAGTACCGGACCAGTTCTGGGGAGGCTGATGCTGTGGGGGAGCGGTGGGGGGCAGAGTGAGGCCACGGGGCCACGGCCACACCCATCCGTGCTGAGAAGCCCCTCAGGCTGGGGGGGACACTCACTGCTTTCTGGTGAAGCTCGGTCCTGAGCTAGAACGGGGGCAGCCGCAGGCTTGGTGGGCGGCCTTGGGGCCTTGGCCAGAAAGGCTGGAGCCACAGGCCTTGGAGAGGACCTCAGGAGCACAGGTTTGGCAGGGGGACCGGCGCCTACACACCTCGGCCACGCCTCTGGCGCTAGAGGCTTCTGCAGAGAGCAGGGCATGGGGCGGGCCGCTGGGACACACCCGCTGCTCTCGGGGACCCCGTCCACCCAAGGTGAGCTGTGGGGCTCCAGGGCTCAGCCCGGCACAGTGATTCGGAGCAGCACAGTGCTCCTTTCACAGCCGATGTCTCTGAGGGCCTCTCACCCTGGGCGGGCCAGGCTCACCTGCGGGGGCAAGGGTCTCAAGGAAGGGCTCAGCGGCTGCTGCTGGAGCGCCATGGCCTGCAGGGTCATCTCGCGGGCCTGGGGAGAGGGGGCGGTGTTGGCTATGCAGTCCACCCCCAGACACACACACACACAGTCCCGGCCTCACTCACCAGGAGCACGGCCTGCTTGTGGATGAAGGCTTGCTGCAGAGCCAGCGTGGAGGCGTCCAGGCCAGGGACTGGGGAGCCAGGCAGAGGGCACAATGAGCCAGGAAGCAGAACTCGGAACCCCTGTCCTCTGCAACCGCCAGGCCCGCGGCTGCCTCTGTTCCAGCCCACGTAGGGGCCTGAGGGTCGGTGAGCCCCCTACCCTCCCTGGAGCCGCCCTGGGGAGGCACTGACTTGGCTTTGGCTTTGGTTCTGGGGCTCTCTTGAGGGCGTCTTCAGTACCGCTACTGCCACCTTCGCCAGGCTGGCCGCCCCCTTTCATGCGGTAGGCAATGGCCGTAGGCTTCTCCAGGTCCTGGGGGCAGCAGGTGGCTCAAGTGACCGCCTCGGTTTGCACTCCTGAAGCTCCACGGCAACAGGCACCTGACACCGAGCGCTTCCTCCGCCCCAGGCGTGGGGGGACTCCCGCTGGCTGAGTATCTGCTCTGTGCAGTCTTTACCCACAAGGCACCCTAGTTAGTGCCCCCTACAGCACACCTCCCCCTCCACAGGGGAGTAAACTGAGGCTCACAGAGGGGCCGTGCCCTGCTGAAGGCTGCGTATCATTTCAGGGACCACAGAGGGGCTCTGGGAGTCCCCAGAATGAGGGTCGGGGAACCCGGGGACTAAGGTCCCTCGCTCCTGTGGAGACTTGGCTGCCTCAGAGGTGGGGAAGCGGTCCGTCTGGGGTCAGCCAGGAACATCTCCAGCTTCAAGGAGACCCTCATCCTTTCCCCTGTCCCCAGCAGGCTCGGGCAGGACCCACCACCCCAGGGCCCTGGCTGTACGAAGCTTCCTGTCACCGTGGGTGTGAGTGACTTTGAGCGTACACTGAGCTGCTGCCAGCCAGTGCCCTGCCCTGCCCTGCTCCTACCGCGTCCCCGTAGGACAAGACGGGGTTGAAGAGGCTGTCCAGGTAGCAGTCCAAGCCCTTGGGGGGCACGGTGGGCTCTCCCAGGCCATCTGAATCTGGGTGCAGGGTGCACAAAAAAGCAAGTTCATTTCTCCTGCTGGTCTCCACTCCCTACAGCCCCCTCCAGGCTCCATTCCCACCACAGACAGCGGCCATTGGTGGCTGACCTTGATGTGTCGCTGTCCCTCTCTGGGCCTCAGGCTCCCCATTTGCACTGTCCTCACTGTGGCTGCAGTACTCCTCAGAGCCAAGCACTTTGGACTCCCGGTCCTGGGGCTGAGACCTAATGGGTGTGTCTTCATCTGAGTCCCAGCTGTTCCCAAACAGCCTGTGGGGAAGGGGCACACAGAGCAGTTGGCCCACAGAGACCCACAGTCTCCAGAACCCCCAACTCTCCTCTGTGCCCAAAGCTGGACGACTCTTCATTTAAAAGGCAGGTATCCAGGAAGCTGAGGCAGGAAGATTGCTTGAGGCCAGAAGTTCCAGGGCAGCCCGGGCAACATAAGCCCCGTTTCAAAACAAACAAAAACAAATCATGCCAAAAAAAGAAAAAAAATAGAAAAGAAAAAAACCCTCAGAACCCAGCCTCTCCCAGCAGCTAGGCAGGAAACACCTTCTGCCTAGGAGAGGCTGTACCTGCGAGGGTGGTCTGGTAGCTACCTACACGCTGGGGCCTCCCCTGCTGGCCATGGGCCCTTCTGCACCCACGATGAAGTAGGACTTCTGTCGTGGGAAGTCCTTGGGGAGTTCCAGGTCTGACACCAGATCCAGCACGTAGTCATGGCCAGCCAGCTCCGCCCACTGGACACCACTCTTCATGGCTACCGTCCAGCCCCGCCAGCCGTCAGTCAGCCCCCTGGGGACGGTGCGGAGGGATGGAGAAGAGGGATGAAACCGTCAGGCAATGTGCTGGGAGACCTTGGGGTGTGAGTCAGACCCTGGCCATGACACAGTGGCCCTGAGGAATCCAGCCCCCTCCCCTCCCCTCCCCGCTTCCCAGGGCACAGCGGTGTGCCAGGCAGGGCGCTCTAGGAGCCAACCTGTGCCTCAGGATGTCTCCAGCCATCTCTTCCCCGGTGCTCCAGGAGTGTGCTGGGCAGGAAAACTGGTCACCTGGGGCGGCACGGGGCGGGGGTCAGTCTAGGCACCCGTAGGCCAGCCTCGATGGCCTCCCTGCCCACTCCTCCTTCCGGTCTCTGACCTTGGGGCTGTGTTTGCATCCCCACCGCCAGGCCCCCGCTCCCGCCTGACTTTCCTGCAGAGCCACATCTGACTAGGCCCTTTCCAGTCCCCTCCCAGCTCCAGAACCTCCTCGGCCACTGCTGACCCCAGGGCACCCCGCGCTGCGGACTCCAGTCCGTGAGGCAGAGACAGGGCAGCTCACCGTTGAAGCAGCTCACGTCCAGCGCCATGCTGGCCTTCTCGTGGATGGTGGTCCACTCCAGCTGGGTCGGGGGGAAGGTGCGGGCCACCCCTGAGCCTTGCTGTGGGGTCTGGCCCATGGCCTGCATGAGGCGGTGCTGACACACTGCCTGGAAGCCGTTCCGCCCATAGTCAGACACGAACCTGATGCGGGGGAGTTGGAGCCTGAGAGGGGCCCAGGTAGCCCACAGCTCTAAGGTGAGCCCGAGAGGCTCCTTCGGAAGGGTCCGAGGTTGTAGCTCAGAACTCTGGGCTACAGTGAAGGGATAAAGATCTCAGGGTATCCCAGAGTTTATAGCTAAACGGAAAGAGGCTTTAGCCTAGCTCAGAAGTTTATCCCAGGGCAGCACTGAGATGCAGGGGTAGGCCAAAGGGGTTCCAGCTTGTTGGAACAAAATGTCATGTCCGAGTGGGGGTCTGCAGCTGAGCGTGGGCAAACACTGGACTCTAGATAACTCAGCTCCCGTTCTTTCACCAGCTGGCACACGGTGGTCGCACAGCCCCTCTGGGTCTCACTGCCTTGCTCTCGGTTATGTGAGAGCTGGCCCCGATGGTTCAGCTTGGCCTGGGACCCATGGGCTCACACCCTACCAGGCTGTGCATGGCCCGCTCTGCCCCGGCCCTGCCAGGAGCAGCTGTAGTTTGGGCCCATAGCAGCTGGGGGGGAACCCAGAGCCAAGTCCGTGAGAAGGTCACTGCTACGGCGGCCATAGTCACAAGGCTGATCAAGGAATGACCGCGAGCCTGAGCAAGGCTCTGTACACAGCGACCCTGCCTGGTGGATCCTGGTGCCACCCACAGTTCATGGGAGGAACAGGTTCAGAGAAGGGCAGTGACTGGCCCTCAGCCACGCAGCAGGCAGGTTCCAGAGCTGGGATCTGCACCTAGGCCTGCCTGAGCTCTCGCCCTTGCAGGCATGCTTCTCACACCCAGCAGCAGGGTGACGTCACCACAACACGCTCATCATGGCTATGCCCACACGGCGCCCACCCATGCCCGGCCTCTGCTTTGGGCACTGGATGTATCTTTACACATTTCATCCTCACAGCGGCCTGTGAAGTATGTACAATCATCACCCTCATTTTAGGGGAAGAAATTGAGGCCCAGCGAGGTTAAGTAGCTTGCCCAAGATCACACGGTCCACCCATGGGTGAGCTGGGACTGGAACCCAGACTGTCAAAGCCCAACACCTATGTCCCCGCCCCCACGGCTTGCGAGGACCCTGCACCTTTCCAAGCCCCCACGTCCTGGCCTTGTCCTCTCTGGGTCCTGGAAGTCCTTCGTCCTGTCCGCCTGACTTCTGCCCCCCACAGTGAACCTGCTGCTCTGGCTCTGGGCCCAGCAGAGACCGAGCGCCATGGCCGGTTCCTGCCTGGCCTGAGCCTCCTCCCACAGGCTCCGCCCCTTGAATCCACCACCACCACCACCACCACCAGCCCCGGCCCCACAGGGCCCACTCACTTGAGGAGGAACTTGTCGAGGCGCGGGGACGGTGCAAAGCTGCTGAGGCAGGCGGCCAGCAGCAGCCAGCCGCGTGCGGCATTGTGAGCGTTGTGATTGTGCCACACCTGGTTGGCCAGCTGGGCCAGGATCTCGTCCCGCAGCTCAGGCACCACTAGCCCCTTCTGCACGATATAGTTCCCAAAGGTGTTCTCCTGGGCGCCGTGCAGGTGGGGGTCGCCCATGAAACGCAGGATCTGGGCCACAAACAAGACTCCCGTGGGCCTCTCAGAGAGCTGTTCCTGCCAGATCCCCACCCTTCACCAAGCACCCCTGTCCTGCCTCTCCCATGGGCCCCCCACCCATATAAAAGTCCCTCATGATATAGCTACCATGTTCTACGCCAAAAGACTAGGCAGTTCACCCCAACGATGGGAAAAGTTAAGACCCAAAGTACACGTTGACTTCCTGTCCTGTTCGTGAACCTTCCATGCCTCCCCATGTGGTCCGGCCCTTCCTTTCTCTCCTGGCCTCCAGCTGGCCCCTCACTTCCTGCTCTATTTAGGCCCCAGAGGGTTCTTCCAGCTCTGTTTGCTTCCCTGCCGTGGACGCACCCTCCTGGGGGTGAAATCTGACTTCTCGATCTGCGCTGGGGCCTGGAGCACCATTCTCCACAGCCTCCTGCCCCTCATCTGACCACACAGATTTCCTCTTTTCCCTGTGCCCGCCTCACTCTCCCTGCAGGCAAATTCCCCTTTAGCTCAGATGCTCCCTCCAGGAAGCCCTCCCTGGCGCTGCTGGGGCTGAGTTAGGGGTCCCATCTGGACTCCCCGCCTCTGTGCTTCCCTTTGCTCAGGCTGGTGCTCACTGGTCAGTCCCAGGGAGTGCCCTTCCCCAGACTGGAATATCCTTGAGGAGCACACACACTGGTGTCCCTGGAAGGCTCCAGAGAGACTCATTCCAAGGCTCTTGTTTTGCTAGGAAGATGACTGGTAGAAGAAAGGCCACTAGAAGCCAAGCCAGATCCCCCTACAAACATAAAAGTCTCTTCTCCAAAGAAGAGAAGTGGAGCTCAGGAGTTGGGCTTGTGGGGGGCCCAAGAGGACAGCACTGGGGCTCACAGCCCAGCCTCACGGCCAGGAGCCCATACCAGCTTGAAGGTGCTCACGGCCTCTGCATGGTGCTCAGGCGGCAGCCGCGTGAGGGGTGTCCTCAGGGGGGCTGTCAGCATCCCAAAGGCAGGCTCCTGGGGTACAGGGCAGGACATGAGCAGGCAGCGCTGGGCCTGACAAGCACTGCTGGATCCCTGCCCTGTGCCAGGCAGGCATGCAGAAGCCCGGAAGGCGGGCTCCTGCCCGCAGTGTGTGGATGGGGACGCAGGCAGGCAGGAGCAGGCCGCAGCCTCCGGGAGCTGTGGTGGAGGCAGAGGATCCACCTCTGGCCTGGGCCCTTGGGTGTGGGGGAGGAAATGAGAGCAGGACAGGTTCCGCGGCTGCAGGGTAAGCCAGTGCCTGAGCCTGAGGCCTCCCCACACGCAGGCCCTGGCAGCCCAGATGCCCATGATCCACCACTAAAGGCTCATACTTGAACCATGGAAGCATGCCCCCAGGGGAGGACAATGTCCTTTCTTTTTTCTTCTAATTTTTATAATCCTGGGCATGGAACTCAAAGTCTCTGTCACTGAGCCACATTGCCAGCTCAAGGGCAACGTCAGTTCCGACTGCCGTCTGCGCCCGCTGGCCAGGGCCCCTTGGCCGATGCCAGCCCTTACCTTGAAGTAGCACCGGACAAACTTGGCCATGGGGTAGTTGTTGATATCTAGGGGCAGGGTGACTCGGGGTTCAGTCTGGAGCCGGGGCGTCCGCACAGGGGCCACTCGAGGGACCTTGGGCAGCCTGAGGCCTGTGGAAAGTGAGGCATGAGCTGACCTCACCCTCACCCCTAGGCCCTTCCCTACTGTCCAGTGCTAACACACCTGCCACTGCTTGCAAGAGCCCAGTCAGCTCGGCTGGGACCTCCAGGTGTCCCACAGCTACCACCTGCCGCTTGCTCAGCTCCTGGGGGACAGGAGGTAGTGAGGAAATAGCCTGCCACACTCCCACCTGCCAGTCTCTCTCCTTGTCCCCTGCTGCCACCCAGAGCCGCACCCACCTCCTGCTCCCGCAGCCGCACCTCCTCCACCCGGCGCCTGCGTTCTGCCCTCAGCTGCAGGAGAGCAGATGGTCAGGGCGGGATGGTGGGCAGAGGCGCCAGCGGCCGAGGCAGGGCAGGCCGGGCTCACAGGGCAGCTGGCATGAGGAGGGGCAGCTTCGTGCAGCTGCAGCCTGGAGGCCACTGCTCCTTTCAGAGAGGAGCACAGCTGGCCGAGGTGGCCAGGGAAGCAGGGAGGGAAAGGAGAAAGCCGGACAGAGACGGCGGCAGACAGCGAGGAAGAGGGACTTCGGGGAAAGATGCGTGGGAGGACTCCGGGAGCTGGAGCAGCGGGCAGTGCGCACATGCTGCCCCTCCTCCACCACGAGACGAACCTTGAGTAAAGGCTACATAGTCCCTGCATGCCTTGGGAACAGCGTTTGTCTCCCCGGCGGCTGGTGTATGTGACAGTGGGCTGGGTCTAGCCCCAAGATCAGGGCCAGACCATAGCCAGGGATGCTCAGGTGGCCAAGCTGTGACTGCGTCCAATTCCCAAAGACCCCCGATCCCAGCTCCAGGCCAGTCCTCCCCATGCCGCATCCTGTCTGACCCTCTGCACCAACCCAAACGGGAATATGGGAAATTGAGGCCACAGAGGGGCCAAGGCTACACAGCATGTACGCGGCAGAGTGAGGACTGGAGCCCATGACTATCTGAAGCCAACACTCGTCTGCACCGGGTGCTGCGTGCCTCCCTTCCTGTGGACCCCTGTACCCAGACAGGGCGGGGCCTGTACCTTGAGGTAGCGCCGGTGGTCCATGTACATGTGCACCAGGGCTCGGAACTTCACCAGGCGCCTTCGCATCTGCTGGTAGCGTTGCCTGGGGGCCGGGGAGTGGAACCAAGGGTGACAGGGTGACCAAGGAGCAGAGGTGCCTCTACCAGCTGGGCCTGGGAGCCACTGCCCACATCCCACTCTGGGACCCTTTGCTAGAAAGGAAAACTGGAGCTCAGGGAGGAGCAGTGACTCGGCAGAGGTCACAGAGCAAACTCAGCGGGAGGGCCTGGACAAGCCACGCAGAGACCATGGAGCCCACGTCCCTGAGATACAGGGCTGGCCCCTCCCAGCTGAATGGAGTCCCACTGAGTTAAGAGGGCCTGGCGGTGGGTAGAAAGACACCCAAAAGCAGAAACACCGAGAACCTGCTCTTTCGTCCTGCAGAGGTTCCTCTTTCAGCACGCACGTCCCCAGAGACCAGGAGCTCGCTTCTTGAACTCCAGCATGGTCTCGCCCGAGCCCAAGCACAGGACCCCAGGGAGTCCCGCCTTCTCTGAGCCCCACCTGGCAAGGTAGCCGCGGGCCCGGCTCTGCAGTAGGATGATCTTACGGCGCAGGGAGCGGAAGCGCCGCTGGATGAAGAAGCCGCGGAGGTAACGCTGCAACGTGAGGGCCGCCAGGTTCAGGACGTGCTCACGCATGCTTTCCAGCAGCTGGTGCAGATGTTCCTTAAGGAACAGCTGGGGACAGAAAGCAGGTACCAGGTAGGCAAGAGCCAGGAGGCTGGACAAGGCCCTCCCGCTCCAGAGGTGCATGGAGACAGGATAGGGGAGCTGCCCGGGGCTGGGCCAGAAGGAGTTCAGGGACGCTGGTGCCCAGGCAGGGGAAGAATACCACGCGGCCAGCCCTGTGGGACAGTTTCCAGGGCATGAACCTTATTTTAATTTTGATGGTCCGGAGGATGGAACACAGGGAACACTGAGCTATACATCCTCAGCCCTTTTTTAAAATGTTATTTTGAGACGGGGGTCTTGTTAAGTTGTTCAGGCCGAGCTTGAACTTGTGATCCTTTTGCCTTGGTCTCCTGCATAGCTGGAGCATAGGTGTGCCACCACTCCTGGCTGGGACCGGAATCCTTAGCTGGGACTTTTCTGACTCCCTCGCCTGGAGTTCAGGGTCTGTACACTTGGGGTCTCCAGAGGCTGAACATGGGACAGCACTCACCTTGCTGACCCCAACACGGTACATGTTTGGCGTGACCGTGCACAGGCGGCTCAGCACCGACACACACATGTCCCCGTTAGCTGGCAGGCTGTGCTCGAGGGCCACCAGGCAGCGGTACCTGTGGGGGCCCAAACTCAGCCCGAGGTTAGAATATCTACCCCAGCAGCCTGACAGACCCCAGGGCTACCACCCCAACCCTGCGTCCGAGGCTGGGTCCCAGTGGTGGCCCTACTAATACTGTCATCTAATCATTTGTTTTTCTTTTTGTTTTTCATCTGGTACCAGGAACCGAACTCACAACCTTGCACTTGCCAGGCAGGCGCTTTGCCGCTGAGCTAAATCCTCAGCCCAATATCTTTGTTTCTTCCTTTTTGTTTTTCTTTTTGTACTGTTGTCTAATCAGAGAATGTCCCTCTGTCCTCAAGACTACTGGATATCAGAAAATTTTGAGGCTGTTTCAGTAGAACAAGACATTTTACTGCCATCTGCTGGAAGATTGTCATAATAACTATTAAAATCACCGCACTGTGGAGTCAACATAGATACAGTAAGACTGGAAAAAGGTGAAATAATAAATTTATTTACTGTGTCATAGCTAGCACAAGTCTTCCAGAGTGCACAAACTACACAACTGTGCATTGTGAGTCTGACGTTGTCTGGGTTGTGTACTCCTAGCGCCACGGGGGCTTTGGGGGGTGGTCTATGGAACTCACTACCCCGATGGAGATACCTGTCAACGAACACCTGGAAAGGTAGCCGCACCGGGAAGCCCTCCTTGCGGATCCGCACAGTCTCCAGAACCCCCGAGTAGCGTAACTGGGCCATCACCACGTCCGGCTCAAAGAGACCCGGCTCCTGGGGGGTGCCCAGAGAGGGAGTCTGCACGTGGTCCGCCCACGTGCAACGGTACTGTCAGGAGGGAAATCTCCACAGGGGCCGGGTAAGAGGAGGTCTAAAGAGGCCAGGCCAGCTGCCCAGAGCCACACAGCACAGGGAGACATGGCTCTCCCGGAGGCCTCAGCTCTCACCTACCTTCTTGTGGTTGGGCTTCAGGCAACGCACAAACAAGGGGTTACACCTGGGCAGGGGCAGTAGGAGGGCAGTGTGAGATGTGAGAGAAGGCGGGCGCTCACCCGCTGAGGGTCAGGGGTGGGCTAAAAGTGAGGCTGGTGTTTTGCCTCCCCCACCTCTCCATCTTTTCCACCAGGTCCAAGAGCGACTGCTGGAACTTGGCAGCCACTGTGTGCGCCTTGTAGAGTCGGGTCATGGAGCTGCTCTTACCCAGCCGCTGGGGGGCAGCCTGTGGGGCGTGGCTGGAGAAGAGGTGTGCCACCACCTGGGCAGGTGAGCCACGGCCAGGAGAGACAGGTGACAGGCAGGGAAACAGAGAGGTCAGGGCCAAGCAAGAGATGAAGAAAGAGAACAAGAGTCAAGGGCCCGGACTGAAGGAACCTGAGAAACAATTGGGCTTCTGCCCTCCCTGCCACCCTGGTTTGCTCACTCCTCAAAAAAGGGGGCTCAGCACCTCCCAGGGGACCCATCCCACAGTGAGGCTGGCTTTTTCCCTTTCACTCTGGGGAACACAGGGTCACTGGCGGTGCCGGGCCCTGGGGGTGGCTGCCACACACAGGGCGGTGAACTTTGACTGATGACTCAGGAGGAGGGCCCATTTGACAGAAGAGGAAGTGGAGGCCCGAAGGGAAGTGATGCCATCAGGCCTGCGTTCTGAGGGCCACCTGCTGGCCATAGGGGGCTGTAACGGGGGAGCCTCCTGGGGCCTTCAGAGAACACAAATCAGGCCCCCAAGTTCCCCTCCCGGGCCTCACGGAAGTACTGGGGAGAGGGTCCAGACAAACAGCTCAGCACTCAAGGGCAAGGGCGAGGTGATCCGGGAACACCAAGGCTGGGTTGAGGGGACGACCTGGCCTGGTGAGAAGCCGGACAAGCGGGGGCTGGGGAGGGGAGGGGCGGGTCGAGGCCGGGCGGGTACGGGGTGAGGGTCCCGCTGGAAGCCGGCCTCCCTCACCCTCGTCCGACTCCGTACGAACAGGTCCAGCACATCCTGGCGCACCTGGTCATGGTTCTTGTCCAAGAACTTGTGCACCTGGAAAATGGGGCCAGCAAGGGAGTAGGGGTGGACCGTGCTAGCCCTGACACTGCCCTGTACCACCGCAGGTGCAGGGCAGGGGTGTAGTCCACCCCAGGATGTGCGAGAGGCTCTTCCCAACTCCTCCTCCTGCTTCCTCCCTCTCGGTCAGAGACTCTTGTTGCCTGGGTAACCCTGGCCCTGTCACTACCAGGCATCTGTCTCTCTGTCCATCACAGGGCTGGACCCAACTCACTGCTGTGGCCGCCTGGCCCAGCCCCACCACACTCCTCATTCCTGGGCTTGGCTTCACAGCACCAGTGCCTGCCCCAGCCCAGCTGCCAGACCTCCAGGGCTGGAACGCATCGGATAATAGTGATCGCTACCAAAAGTAGATACTTTTTATCACATCTACCTGAGGCTTCTCATATGCACCTCAGGAGATGGGCACTATTAGCCCTATTTTCTAGAAGGTGCACATTGCAGCTCAGAGAGGTTAAGTGACTTTCCTAAAGTCACACAGCTAGGAGGAGCTGCAGGGCTAGAGTTAAAGCTAGATGTGTGTGGCACCCACAGTGTGCTTTCCGTTTCCAGCCTGCAGGGGAAACGCAGCGCCTGCGCCCTGCCGGCTGTTCTGGGTCTCACCTGGTAGGTGACCTTGCCCGCGTAGTGTTTGATGGTGAACTCAGGTAGCGGCATCTTGGGCTTGGAGTACAGCGGGTTGGTGCCGTGGTGGTAGTGGCACTTCTGCAGGAATGTGTGGTCCGTGGCCTGGGGTAGGTGGGAGTTCGTGGGTGAGTACCTTGTTCCTGACCTAGTGGCAAATTCTCCAGCCCTGACTGCTCCCCTGAGCGCAGTGGAGAGGAACAACTCACAGCTTCTCACGGCAGCCCATGGCCCTGGGGGGAGAGGCAAGTGCCTCAGCCAGACACTGGGGACCTAGACGGACCCCTGCAGACCAATGTGGCCGGATCAGCTCCCAAGGACCTGTGCACTCCCACTGCCATCTCGCCCTTGTGTTTCACTGGCGGGATCTGCAGCCCCAATCCAAGGTCACCTCCTCCAGGAAGTCCTCTCGGGCTGCTCAGGCTGGTACAGCCCCTCCTCCGGATGCCCACAGCCCCCCAGTCCAGCCTCAATCAGCCCGGGGTTGTGAATGGTAGGGTGGAGGTCCCAGCGCCCCACTTCCCACTCGAGAGGGACGCGCGGCAGGATGTGGCCCAGGGTTCTCAGAGACCGCAGGGACCCGAGCGGCTGCACAAGCACCACAGCTCACCTGCGGAAAGCAGCACTGGTCGTCAAGGATACGCAGGATGCCATAGGGTCTGAGCGAGATGAGGTTGATGCAGGGCTGATTGTCGGCAAAGGTGATCTCCCGCCAGTCAATCTGCTCGCGGATATACTCCTCCTGCAGACAGCAGGCAATAGGGGCTGAGCCTCTTGGGCCTTCCCAGGCACCGTCCAACCCACCTCCCAGGCTGGCCAGAACACCCCTGCTTGCATATTTCCTAGGACAGGAAACACATCCCCAAACAGAACAGCATGAGCTGCTCTTCCGGCAAATGTCACAAGGACCCCTTTCCAGAGGACCTCTCTCTGAGCTCAGCACCCCAGCACATACACGGCCAGAACGTAAGGCTTCACACGGGCCAGTCCCTGCCCCCAGTGCCTTTCCCTGCACTTGTCTCCCAGTGGCCGTGGAATTGCCCTGAGAGATCAGTATGCTCTTGTCTGTCTCCAAGGAGGCCCGCCGGCCGGTGAGGACGGCTGCTCACGGCTGCACACCTGCTCCTCCTGGAAGATGATCTTGTTGAAAAGGTACTGGAGGTTCTCATTGGCGTAGTTAATGCACAGCTGCTCAAAGCTGTTGAAGCTCAGGTCCTGCGGGGGAGTGAGGTGGGGGCCGGCACCCCTTGGCCAGAAGCCCCTCCGTCCCACCTTGGGCCCTGCCCACCTCCCCACTCAGGCCCCCTCTGGCTTCCATGGTGGCAGCTTCATGCAGTGGAAGCCTGATCGCAGGCCCTGCTCACGCCCACTGTGGGTCCACCCCCCACCCCCAGGACACTGACTGGCAGTCCAGGTCCTGGCGGCCCAGGTAGAAGCTAAAGCCCAGGCCATGGATAGCATCTTCTGCTGCGGTCTGAATCCTGCCTCTGCCACTTTCCAGCTGTGTGACCTTGGGCGATCACCGCGTGCCTCAGTTTACCCATTTGTAAAATGGGGCTACCAACAGTTCCTGCCTTTCAGGGCTGTTATGGGGGTGAAGTGAACTTGTGACAGCACCCGGCACGTCACAGGTGCTGGTGTCGTTATGGTTTTCTATTACTGGGATCCTGCCCCTCTCACCATTTTCCCACTCAGCAGCACCCCAAGAAGGACCTCAGTCCTGGGCACCGTGCCCTGCCACACCCCCTGGCCCTTGCTGCGGTCCTTCCCCCCTCCCATAGAATGCCTTTCCTGCCATCAGCAACGTCCCCTCCGCTAGGAAGTGTCCCTGGCTCCCAGCCCCCGCTGAGGCGCCAGACCGCCTGTCTCATGAGCACTCGGGCCCTTCGGAGTCTATCCCCACCCAACCCAGCCCCACTGGGAAGCTCCCCCAGGGCAAGAGCTTGGTCCTGGCCTTTCTGGGGTCCCCAGTGCCGCTCAGCACAGGACCAGGTCCTGAGGCCTCAGGGGCTGCCTGAGGGTCTGAGAAGGCGGCAGAACAGCCTGGGCAGATGACGGTGGGCGGGGTCTGCCGTCAGCAGGGGCATGTGAGCAGCAGGGGCAGGCTGCGAGCCCTCGCCTCTGTCTCCCCCGCCGCCATCCACACAGCCCCACCTCAAAGCCGTAGATGTCCAGGATGGCAATGGACAGCGTGTCCTGCTGCGGGGATACCAGTGCGTTGACCCTGGCAATCAACCAGCTGAACAGCAGTGAATACAAGACCTTGGCGATGGCATCCCTGCAGGGGAGAGGCGGTGCTGGCGCGGGCGGGGCACAGGGACGGGGTGTTGGGGTCTAGGGGCTCGGGCGGGGAGGGTGCAGCCTCACCTGGCATCCACAGCGCTCTCCACGGTCAGGGGCGTGAAGATCTTCTCTCGCATTGTCTCCTGGGGAGGGACATGGCCTTTGAGGGGCAGCAGGCGGGCCACTGCCTCCAGGACGCCCCCAGAGGCCTGGAGGTCAGGAGGCACAGGAAAGGGGGCTGGAGAGATGGTGTGACCCGTCTCAAGCACACATTTGGCCAAAGCTGAGAAAGGATGCCCCTTTCCCCTCTCTGCCTGGTGGTGCAAGGTGGAGGACACTGGTCTAATGGGGGAGAGGGGCATTAGCAGACAGCCTGGGAAGAGGGGAAGAGCCCAGGGCTTTGAAAATCTGGGGGAGGCTCTAATCCAGCCAGGGTCAGGGAAGACTTCCAAGAGGAAAGGGCACCCATGCTGGGTCTGGAAGGGTAAGGGGGCATGAAAAGAGGGAGAGCATTCCAGGCACAGGCAGCAGGCTCTGTAAAGGCCGGGAGGCTGGGAGCCTGACGCCTCTGGAGCCTGAGGTTAGTCTGACCCACATGACAGACAGGGACAGAGAGAGGAGCAAGACGATGCCAGGCAGGGCAACCTGTCCAGGCTCTGGTAGGAGGCCGTCAGAATCTGCGCCTGCTGACTCACGGTCACTTTGAAGGTGATGGCCTTCTGCAGGCCCTCAGGGGAGACCTGCAGCAGCTCGGCTACAGCCTGGATCTCCCGGGCGCTCACCACCGAGGCCACCTCCTGCGTGTCTGTCTGTGTAAAACAGCAAGGGCAGTGTGCTGTGAACTAGATAAGCGGGGCTTAAGGATCCTGTGAGAAACAGAAACAAGTCAGAGCGCCAAGAACATTCTGGAAAAGAAGCTGGGCGTGGTGGCCTACACCTGTAATCCCAGCACTCAGGAGGCTGAGGAAGTAGGATCTCCACTTTGAGGCCGGCCTGGGCAATTTAGCAAGTTCATTTCCAGCCTGGACTACAGAAGGACACCCTGTTTCCAGAAACAAAAATGAAAATAACAACAAAAACAAACAAAATTCTGGGAAAAAAATCATGAAGGAGGCTTTGTAAGGATGTAAAAATGTATTATACCCGGGGATATAGTTCAGTGGCATAAGCGCCTGCCTGGCACATGCAAGGTCCTAAGTTAGATTCCCAGTACCAAAAAAAAATAAACAAAAAACATACATATAATAGTCATTGAAGGGCTGGGGATTTAGCTCAGCGGCACAGCACCCGCTTGGCAAGCGCAAGGTTGTGAGTTCCATTCCCGGTACCGGCAAAAAAAAAAGTCATTGAAACAACATGGTCAGGCTGAAGGTATAACTAGCAGCAGAACACTTGTTCTCTTCCCAGGACCAAATAAACAAAACAACATGGTCAAAGACACATAGCACGGGGTTGGGGATATAGCTTAGTGGTACAGTGCCTGCTTGGCAAGCATAGGGTCCTGAGTTCAATTCCCAGTATCAAAAAAAAAAAAAAAAAAAAAAAAAAAAAAAAAAAAAAAAAAAAAAAAAGACACATAGTACATAGAGAGACCAGTTAATGAGGTAGATTAGAAAGTCTGCAGTTAGACACAAATGTATATGGTAATTCAGTACATGATAAACACTTATTTTTCAAATCAGGAGATTCAGGCAATAGAGTAACCAACTGGAAAAATGTAAATCAGATTCCTACTGGTCATCATGCTAGGATAGCCTATAGTATGGAGTAGGAGGCTTAAGACAGGGTCTTACTACGTAGTCCAGGCCAGTTTTGAACTCTTGATCCTCCTGCCTCAGCCTCCCAAGAGCTGGGATTATAGGCATGCACTGTGCTACCATATCTGGCTTACTAGAATAAATTGTTTTTTCGATTTTTGGATAAATTCTTCATGCATCAGATAGTAAATGTTAAACTCCCACAAGACCATAAAATTTCTTTAAAAGAATGGTAGGAGAGAGCCATTATAATTTTAGACAGATAGATTTTGCTAAAAATGACAAAAAGGTCACATTTTACCTAAGAAAACATTCATAAATGAACTGCCTAAAAGCAATATTAAAATAATCTGCATGGCAAAAAAAAAAACAACCCACAGAAATGCCAAAAAATTGTAAAGAAAATCAAAACATAGCCAGAGATTTAGCTCAGAGGCATAGCACCTGCCTGGCAAGTGCAAGGTCGTGAGTTTGATTCCCAGTACCCTCGAAAAAAACCCAGAAAAAAACCCCACTATAATCAAGAAAATCAAAATGTAAATGAAAAACTGGAAAACATATTCAAGTTCATATCAGAAACAAAGGTCTGCCGGGTGTGGTGGTGCACCCCTATAATCCCAGCACTCAGGAGGCTGAGGCAGGAGGATTGTTGTGAGTTTGAGACCAGCCTGAGCTACAAAGTGAGCTCAAGGCCAGCCTGAACTGCATAGCAAGATCCTGTCTCAAAAAAAAAAAAAAGAAAAGAAAAAAAGAAAAAAGAAACAAAGGTCTGACTCTCCCAAGGTATATAAAAGCTTCCACATATCAGTAAGAAAAACATAAACAGCTCCACGGGGCTGTAGAACAAATATGTGTATAGTGTCAGCTGGAAGAAAAAGGTGAAGTCTCAGATAAAGTGGCCTGTGTCAGGCGGTGGGATCCCCTCACCTCGTACTTCTCGAAGTACACATTCCCCAGGTGTAGGATGGAGGCCAGGATGCGGAAGATGCTGTCCTGGTCCTCGCTGCTGAAGCCCAGCACCTCCATGGCAGCCAGGAGCCGGCGGAAGTCATCAGCATCGCTCTTCCCCAGGATCTCACAGTTCCCGCCCTGGGTGAGAGCAGGGCTGGGGTCAGGGGTGGACGGGAGGGCCCAAGCTGGTCCCTCAAGCTCTTGTTCCACTCTCATGGGCCACACGGGCTCTGAGGGGTCTCAGGACAGGCTGCAGAGATTCCAGACGTGACGAGTCGCAGATCAAGGTTAACGATAATGAAACAGCTGCCATCGTGCCAGGAGAGCGTCCCACAGGCTAGGGCTAAGTTCATTGCGTGCGTCTCCCCAACTGTACCTCACTGTATCTGTTCTAGCCACTGTTCTGGGCCCTGAACTGTTCCTCACCCTGCCCGGGGCACTCTGGGCTTTGTGTAATTTTTATTAGGACCTTTGAGGTACACAACGATCACATCCATTCTGTGGAAGAGGGACATGTACACATCTTAATTCTTTTTGTTCTCTTCCTCTTTCCTTCTCACTCTCTTCATCTCTAGATCCCTTTCCCATGTGCAAACGATCTAGCTCCCGGTTTCCTATTGCCCATCTTTCATTTTGCTCTTTAAGCTAAAAAGGGCTGGGCTGGGGATTTAGCTCAGCGGCACAGCCCCTGCCTGGCAAGCGGAAGGTCGTGAGTTCGATTCTTGGTACCGGAAAAAACACAACAAAATAAATAAACTATACAGGAGGGGCTGGGGATTTAGCTCAGTGGCACAGCGCCTGCCTGGCAAGCGCAAGGTTGTGAGTTTGATTCCCAGTACCGGAAAAAAAAAACAAAAAAACAAACTATACAGGGGCACTATGCTGTCTTCATTTCAGAGTTATGGAAACTGAGGCACAAAGAGGGGAAAGTAGCAGCCCCAGGTGGGTGAGTTCTGTTCTAGCCACTGCTCTGGGCCCTGGACATTCTTGTCCTCCTGGGATGTCTCAAACCCAGACTCGCCCTCCCCAGCCTTCGTCACTTGCACTGGACGTTAGGGCACCACAGCTGGGCTCCCTGAGCCCACCCAGGGGTGCTGCAGCTTTGAACGCCTGCAGGTGCTCACCTGGTTCAGGTAGTAGTAGGTCTCGGCTTCCTGAAGGCTGAAGGCCTGCCGCAGCTGAGCAGGCAGACCCGCCAACAGCTCGTAGAAAATGTGGTAATTCCTCTCGTTTTTGGCCTGCAGAGTGGATGGGTGGGTGCAGAGAAGGGGGCCACCGCCCCCTGAGGACCCCCAGACACACAGACAGACCGAGGTATGCGCACAAACATAAATATGCACAGGGCCTGCAGTGAGTTCGGGGGCCTCTGCCTGCGCTGAGCAAGGGAAGCCCCAGCGTGGGGGTGGGGGTGGAGAAGCTTAGATCTGTGATGGGATTTCACGCTGTTTGGGAAAGTCAGAGGAAAGCCAGCCCGTCCTTTCTCTTGTGTACTGGGCTCACACAGCTACATATACGCATGTCTACGGCCTGGATGTGCACACACAGGTTTCCTGATTGAGCACCCGCGCCCCAGGCCCCGTCCTACGTCCTCAGGGCAACAGAAACCCCTATCTCCTGGTGCCCACTTGCTAGCTGGAAAGACACACTCAGCCGATCCCTGGTTAAAATGTACAACATGTCAGGTGGTAAAAAGTACTCCCGATAGAAATAAAGTACTGAATGAGTGAGAGTTCTGGTGAGGTGGAGAGGGGCCGCCTGTGTAAATGGGGGAGCTTCCCTGAGCAAGGGGATGCAGGGAAGGCTTGGAGGCCGTAAGGGGCTTGGCCGTGCAGGGGTTCAGTGATCCTGGGAGGGGAATACAGTAGTTGCAAAGACCGTGAGACCCAAGCATGTCTGTCTTGATCAGGGTCTGGGCAGAGCCAACACGGCTTACGGGGGCTGGGAGGGGGAGGTGATGAGGTCACGGGCTCACACGTGCACACATTCATGTGCTCTGTGCATGCGTTTGTTCATAACTGGACATCTCTCCAGCCCCGCAGGCACCAAGCTGTGAGTGTCTGTGCCCCCCCGTCCCTCCACACACACAGGCCTGGAAGGGGCAGCCCACCTGAAACACAATCCGAGATTTCTCCAGCAGGTACTGGGAGGTTATGGCACCAGAGATCACGCCCCTGGGATGGACAGCACAGTCAGAGCAAGACATAGAGGTTAAGGTTCAGAGGGGAATGGCAGCTGGTTGGCCCTAGGTTCTCCCGAGACAGGTGGATGGTGTTTCATGGCCTTTGGGAACCTCACCATGGTCCCACTCACCCTTCCAGAAAGATCTCCACGAACTTCCCAAAGCGGCTGGAGTTGTCGTTCCTGACGGTTTTGGCGTTACCGAAGGACTCCAAGAGGGGTGTTGCTTCCAGGATCTGGGCCCCAGAAGGAGAGGAGAGTTTGGGGGTGCTTAGTATGCTCTGGAACCGAGGGGTGGGAGGATGGGGGGACACCTAGAGGCAGGCTTCTTCCAGGAGCCCCTTGTTGAGAGGTGACCAGAAAGGGATTCCTTATAGAATCCCGGGGTGCCCCCAATGCCCTCCCTCCATGCTATCCAGCTGCTTCGCAGCAAGTCCCATGCTAACCTCTCCCAGACCTCTCTGGGCCCCACATACGGCAGCCACTGACCACAAGCCCCCCGCCCCAGCCCAGGACAGGCCTCTTGGATGCCTACGGATCCTCCTCCTCTGCGTACATCACAGGAGCATGCTCGAACACACACACACACACACACACACACACACACACACACTCCAAGTACCTTTATCTTCAGCAGCACCAGCGAAGAGGGCAAAGGCATGAAGGACAGGAACAGAAGTGGGTTACTGACAGGACTGATCATCTAACCCTGCCTCCCCCCACCAGGAAACTAGGAAGGAGCCCGGGACCCTGGAGGAACCAGCCAGTCCTGTTACACAAACCCCTACACCCCACCCCAGGTGCTCAGGTTTTGGGAATATAGTGTGGCCCCAGGGGTTGCAGTCTGCTAGGTCCGCCTGCCACAGGGCTCTGGGGACGTCCTCTTCTCCCTGCCCATGGCTGACAGTCCCCTGGGCTCCTTGACCTCCTCCCTGAACCTGCCCTCTCCTGCTGTCTCAATGGCTCTTTGAAAACCCACATTAGGGCATGTTCCCTCCAAGGGTCCCACTTTTTTCAGGCTCAGAACCAATTTCTCTGTGACCTCCAAGGTCCAGCCCTGGGCAGCCTCGTCATGTCCTTGTCCCCCCTCCCCGCTCTGTCGAGCCCTCCCCATTGTTCACACAACACCAAGGCACACTCCTGTCTCAGGGCATTTGCACCCACCATTCCTGAGGCCTGGAAGCTGCTGCTCTCGGTGTCTGCATGGCCCCCCAGCTCCGTCAGAGAAGCCTCCAGCCCAGATTCTCTGCCTCTCAACCCTCAGCACCCTGGTCAGGCTCCACTTCCTTGAGTACTGTCTATCTTCCTACCAGAATATTAGCTCCTATGACATGAATCTATCATACACCTTTGAGTCCCAGCATCTGCCTGGGACTGGTGCATAGCAGGCCCCTGAATGGATTAAAAAGGTAAAGGATCTAATGAGCAGCTCTGCCTACAGTGACACACACCTGATCACAGCACCCTACTGAGCACCTACTACGAGTCAGACCATCGGCCTATGACACTGATAACAAAAATATCCCATGAACTAAGTACTAATATCACCACTGTTTTTGCATATTAGTTTTCTAAACAGAGACTTTGAAAAGTGACATGATTTGCCCAGGGATCCCAGAATTTGTGAGTGGGGCCCCTGACAGGACAGTGACAAGCACGTGCTAGCAAGGATATGGAGGGTTTTTTTTTTTGGCCTAAGTCATTTCCTCAGGATGAGGTCCTAGGGAAGAAGCCGGGGAGGCCTGCTCAGTGCAGAAATCACACCTGTAAGCCTGGGGGCGGTGCCAGCCCCTCCATTTGTTTGCCCACCATCCTGTGTAGTCCAAGACCTGCTGTGCCCAGTGTACAGGAGGGAACAGACTGAGGTTCAGGAAGGGACGGGGCTGGCTGGGCACTGCTTTACACCAGTGCTGGAAACCTGTGTCCTGTGCTTGTTATCACTGAAAAGATTGTTATCACTCTAAAGATCTGGCTTCAGTGTTGTATACTATTTCCTAGTCTGGCAGCCCCTTGAGGGCGCCTGGAGGTGGGCAGGCCCCTTCTCTGTTCCCGGTGCCCGACACAGGGTAGGGCATGAAGCCAGGCGCTGGAAGAGAGGACTCCCGGGCTGACGGGATGAAGAGTGGAGGGGCAGACACTATGGCCTGTCAGGACGCAGCATTCCTCACGCTACATGATCAGCTGCTGTGAGGCCGCATGACCAAAACCTGCCCAAGGAGATGGAGCCCTGAGACTTTTTCTGAGATGCTAGAAGGTGTGAGTCCTACACCTATGGCCCCATCTGGCTGATCGATGGGTGACAGATTGAGGATGATGGAGATACACGGAGGATGGGGCAAAGATTAACAATATTTGAAACCCAGGGCCCAGCTGTGCCTAACTGTCCAATGACAGAAGCAGGGCAAAGCTGTGGGTAAGAAGGAGGCCCGACAGCCACACTGCTGGCCCACACGTCCTCACATCTGTGGTATGCTCGTGCAGAAACGCCCGGGCTCAGCCATTTCCCCTCCAGCTCTCTACCACATGCTACAGATCTCAGTTCCTCCACTGCCTCGCTTTGGGTCATCAGGCAAGTTAAGCCCCTTCCCTGGCCTCAGTTTCCCACACTCGGTGGGCACTTCTCTCAACAAACCTGCTCCTCAACTGCCCTGCCTGCCTCCACGCTGCCAGGGGCTGAGCAGCTGGGGTCACTCTCAGATCAAGCTCCCTCTTCTGTCTCTGTCTGCTCCTTCTGCCGGTCATTAGCCGGTTTTAATATACATCAATATCCAGCCTCACACGGGGTCACTGCTCTGGCCTGACCCCTCCTCATCTGGGCCCATGCTGCCGTTCTGCGGTCCCTCGAAGGCCCCTGACTCATTTGAACTCAGGACCTTTGCGTGTGCTCTGCCCTCGGCCCCTCCACTCATCTCCTTAGGCTTGGCCCCACTCCTGACTACCATGGTTATAGTCACAGCCATCAGCACTCTCCATCCTCCTCCGTTTTTCCCTCCCCAACACACCACCCTTTCCCAAATATGAGACGCAGTCAAAATAAATGGTGATTGTTTAAATTTCAAAAATTTATCACAGTAAAGGACACATTGCTGTTAATCCCCCTCACAACACTCCTCGCTCAAACACACTTATCCATAACTTCTGAAGTGGTTCTAGAAGTCCTTTTCTGTGGATGTCTGTACAGGGCGTCATAAAAAAAGACGGTGAATACTGCAGTGAGTGCCATCCAAAACACGATGGTGCCTCTTCACCCACCGTATTCACAGCATCTGGCACTGTATGACTTCTGGCTCTTTCCAAAAGTCACAATAACCATGAGAGGCAAATGTTTTGAAGTCAGGACATCGAGGCATGACAGAAGACTTCCAGAACTGCTTGGGCAGCTGGCAAGAACAGCGAGGTAAGTGTGTTTGAAGTGAGGGAATACTCTGAGGGAGATCAGTGGCAATGAGTTTGACTGTGACGCATTTTTGAAGATTTAAACATTAACTGCATTTTTACCACACCACGTATATAATGTGCTTCTAGGTACTTAGCTATTTTTCCTTTCTGCTTGTTTCACCAGCACAAAATTCCCACAAGGGGGTGAACGCTTGTCTGCCTGAGTGGCTGCTGCCTCCTCCGCAGCGCCCGGCCTCAATAAACTTTTACGGAAGGAACAGACAAGCTTCTGACATTCCCAAGATTCAGCGTTCTCATCAGCAGAGCTCTGATCCTGCACAGACCCTGGCCCAGTGTCCTCCGACACCCCCAGGCCGGCGTCTGCCATGTCCCCACCTCATGACCACCACCTCGGGACCTGTCCTGCCTCCTCAGTGCTGGGGGCTGCACGGCCTCTGAGTGTGAGAATATAATGACCCGGGGTTATAACTGGGAAGGTGAGGCCCGGCTGGAGAGATGGGCCGACTCCCCCTGCCTGTGTGGTCTCTCTCTGACATAGGATGTGTGCTTGGCTTCCTCGCCTCAGTGTGACCAACTCCCAGCTCCCCAGGGCTTCCCTCGAGGGATGGCACAAACAGCAGCCCTAGCCCAGCCTCCTCACTGCCCAAGTTCGGCCAAGGAGCCTTGCCACTTAGGGAGCACACAAGGCATGTTCAGCAAGGGTGCGTGACAGAACGTCCTGGGGAGACAGGCAGACAAAGCAAGAAACTTACCTGGCAGGCAGACTTACCTGCTGGATGACGTCCCGCTTCTGGTTCATGGCAGCCAGGAAGCGCAGAATCAGCTTGGTGGCCTCAGTTTTGCCAGAGCCGCTCTCTCCACTGAGCGGGCAAAGGGGCAGAGTGAGATGCAACCTTTTACTGCCTCCTCTGGGTTCGCTCCAACCCACCATAAAGAAGCGACATGGGCGTGGCTGGCTCAGAGGCACCTGAAGCGTAGCTCACCTGATGATTATGCACTGGTTCTGTTTGGCATCGAGCATTTTGGCGAAGGCGAGATTAGCGATCGCGAAGAGGTGTCTGTCAAGACAGGCCGTGAGGTGTCACTAGGAAAAGCCTGGCCTGTGTGGTCCGAAACCTCCCCAGGGATGGACGGTGGTGGTGACGGTGGGGTGTCTCTATTCAGCCAAGCAGCCAATCCTGTCCACCCCTTACCCACTGGAAATATGCCCACACCCATGCCCATCCTAAGCCACAGGGGCTTCCAGGGAGGGCCACAGCCAGGTATGGGGAGAGATGTGAGTTGAGTAGGTGGCTGCCCACTCTCACCAGCCCTGACCCCTAGCTGAGGGGCAGCCCAGGACTCGCCAAGCTCAGAGAGGGACCCCCGGGAAGCCCCCTCCTCCAGCCCTGCGGACACTCACGGGGGATTATCGCCCAAGGCCCTCCCGCTGTACTGCTGCACCTGCTCCGGCCCATAGATCCCGAACATTTGGTATGGGTTCACGGACACCAAGATGCTGCCGATGTATGTCTGCTGGCAGATGACGGCCTCAGTGCTGGGACTCTGCATGGTCCTCCCTCCCCTGCTCCGGGAGCCTGGGGCCCCTTCCCAGCAGGGTGAACGTCTGGCTGCCTTGCCTTAGTGTGGCTACCTAGATCCTTCTAGCAGCTCCTGTGATCTAAGCATAGAGCTCGGTACCACAAAGACTGAGGCTGGGAGCAGCACGCAGGCAGCCACGCCCTGCAGCCATGATTCTGCCAGTGGCGGCGTCATTTATTTATGGTCAGGCCCAGGCTCCAGGACATCCGCCTCATGTTGAAGTCAAACCTCCACTGCCTGGAGTTGGGGTGCCCCGGCTATGTGCAGTAGCCAGTCCTTTCTGCGTGTCCCTAACTTCTGTGGCTCTAGGGCTCTGGTCCTCTGTCATTCTGAGGTGTTTCCCTCTCACTTCTTTGGCTACCTCTGCTCTATGGATTCTAGGACTCTGGAAGTTTTATCTGTAAGGTCTCCAGTGTGTGTGTGTGGTGTGTGTGTGTGTGATATCTCTGGATTCCCTGTCTCTATGTCTCTGTCCCTGGTGTCCACCATTCTATCACTATGTCCCAGGACTTCCAACTTCATAGTTCCAGGCTGTAGCATTCTATGCCAAAATGGTGAAATCCCAGAGCTCAAGCCAGAAGCCACAGTTCCAGGGCAGATGGGAGAAACCTTACTTCCCACCTGGCCCCAGCAGGCAGCCGCCTCCCTCATCAGGGCTTACATAGATGAGGTTCCGCTCAAATCTGGTCTTGAGATTGGACAGCACAGTGGTCTCCTGGAGGTCTCTAGGAGAACACGGAGTGGATTGTTAGTGTAGTGTCCCTGGGGCTCTCTCTCCACTCAGGGCCTCACTCAATGGACCTTGGGAGAGTTACTTTACCTTGCTGCCTCAGTTTCTTAGTTTTTGTTTTTTTGTTTTTGAGACAAGGTCTCACTATGCAGTTCAGGCTGGCCTTGAACTCACTATGTAGCCAAGGCTGTGCCTCAGTTTCTTAAGTTTTTTTTTTGTTTGATCTGAGACAGGGTCTCACTATACAGTTCAGGCTGGCCTTAAACTCACTATGTAGCCCAGGCTGGCCTTGAACTCATGGTGATCCGTCTGCCTCAGCCTCCTGAGTGCTGGGTTTACAGGTGTGTGCCATCATACCCACCTGCCTCAGTTTCTTAATCTGTCCAATGAACATAACCACTGTGCGTACTGCCCTGGGGACTGGAGGACCTTACAAGGTAGCAGCCAGGAAGGCTGACAGAACGTGATGGGATCACAGAGCTGACCAGCACAGCTCTCACATGCGGGGCATCTCCAGTGTCCCAGCCACCCACCCCATCTTGTGGATGAGAAACAAGCACACAGAGGGAAGTGCTGTGCCCAGGGTGCCTCAGCTAGTGATAGGCTGGAGTCTGAACTAACGCCTGTCTGATTCACAGAGCTTGGCTTTGGCATGTATTTGGTCTTTAGTGACATTTCCTGACACCCATATGCAGACAGGGAAACTGTGGGTCTGCAAACGTTCTGGGCGGTAGATAGCAGACACTGTCCGAGAGAGTGGGGATCCCACAGGGACCCTCCCGGTCCTGCCCACTCACTCCAGCTGCGTCATGTCCTCCACACCGTCCTCTCTGCGCTGTTCGCGGCTCCGAACAGAAGGCAGGTTGCGGATGGAGTGCATCTATGAGAGACAGGTGGGGTGGGCAGGCTGGAGCACATCTGTGGGGGCCAGGCGTGGACAGACCTGAGACCTGCTCCCTCTGTGACAGAGGGAACCTCAGGGCCAGCCCTGCTGGGCACTGCAGGCCTCCTCAACACAGAACACAAACCCTCACACAGAGGGACCCGAGTCTGTCCTCAGTGCCCGAGTGTCCCTGGGGCAAGTCCCTGTGAGCGCCAAGTGTCCTGCCTGGAGACAAGCACGCGCGCGCGCGCGCGCGCGCGCACACACACACACACACACACACACACACATCTGTGCCCCACCTCAGCTCTCCCTGCCTGAGACTCTTCCTTCTGGCAGACTCCGTGTCTGGACTCCATGTCATGGACATCTGTGTCCTGATGCATGAAACTTCCAAGGGGGCCCAAGGTGGAACCTGCCCCAGGATTGCACCCCTGGGTATGGACCCACACATGGCGGCCTTGCCGCCCTCACTACTCCCATGCAAACCTGTGATCTTGCAGATGCCTGTGGACAAGCACACAGGCCCCTGGGACTTGGCTGGGGGCACACACATGCAGGAACATGCTCTAAGTGTCCATCGGAATGTGCACCTGGGCGGGGAGCTGGGGGCCTCTCCACCCTGGTGGCCTTGAGAATGGAAGACCTCATGCCACCTTTGGGCTGCAGTTTCCACAGTGCGCATTTATGTGCACACATGTGTGTGCGCACACATGCAGACAGCGGACAAATAACCCAGGATGCCACGTCTGCTCAGACCTTAGCACATGCTTGCTTATCATGTGTGGTTGTGGTAGACATGTATGTCCAGGCACTCAGGCCTGCACGGCTCTGCATCTGCAAGCACACATATGTGCACCCTCAGCCCTTCCCATCCCAGCTGCCCTCCTCCCTGGGCAGACAACGAAAGGGAACACCAGCGGGGCCCTGTGTGCTGCGTGCCCATCACAGGGCTGCTAAGTAGGGCACAAGTATCACCCTATCAGCCTTGGCCTCAGGCCCACCCGTCTGCCCATGTGCTCGCAGCTGCCACAGACCCTGAATAATTTAGCCACTCACGTATTCCAGGGTGAGGAGGGCCCAGGCATCCTTGCCCCTCACCCCTGGGCGCCCCGCGCCCCGCTCCCGCAATGCTGCAGCCCACACGGTGCGGGGCACCCGCCGCCGGGGCCAGGGTCCCCCCAAAAGCCAGGCTGCCCCAGTCGCCATTGTCAGGCCCAGCTGGTTGGCTGCTCCATGGGGCACCGTCTGAACAGGCTGAGAAACCCGCCACCCCTGCCTGCCCCGCCCACTCAGGGTGTCCCGGGGGAGGCTCCGGTGACCACCCGCCTCCTTCAAGGGCCATCCAGCACGGGTTCACGTTCCACCACGAGTGTGGCAGCCAGGCGCACACGAGGCACCCTTCAGGCAGGTGCACTGTACCCCACGAGGGCTCCAACCAGACCACGGGCTCCTGGCTTAGCACCCATCCACCGTGCCGCTTCTGGGTCTCAGTCTGCCACTCTGCACCGAGGAGGCTGAAAAGCCGGGCACTGAGCCCTCTCCCGCTCCTTGTCTAGAATCCTTCAGCCAGGGGTCTGCAAAAGGCAGAAGCCTGAGGACTGCAATGTGGGGAAGGGTCAGTAGGAGGCATGAAGACGTGGGCAGGGATGTGGGAGAGCGGCAGGGTGGACAGGCCAGTCCGGCACTTTGCACTCAGTTTGGCTGAAACCTTTGTGCGGTACCTGAGGGTGCCTGGACCGGGGTGGACCAGGGCAGGGCAATTCAGGACCCGCGCTGGAAGGAACCAAAAAGATTCCTTCCCCAAAGTCACATGGAGAAGTTTCCTGCCTCTCTGCCGTATGTCTGCCTGAGGGGCGTCTCTGGTGCAATACCCAGAGACTCTGGGAGGCCCAGGCTATCTTCCCAACCTGCAGATGGTGGACTGAGGCCTATGCAGGAAGCAGCTTGCCAAGGTTGCTCAGGGCTCCTCAGGACACCACTTGCCCTGTTTCCTTGAGCAGAAGCCCCAGGCCTTCCCGCTCACCCATGCCCCCTACCTTGTTCAGCCAGCTTTTGGGGTCAACCCCTTTCCAGGGGCCCCTGAGGGACAGGTAGCCAGCTCCAGGGACCAGGTGGTGAGAATGACCCCGGGTGTATATTTGTGGCCAAGGCAGGTGGGCATCTGCCCGCAGCCAGAGGCGGGGCCAGTGCAGATTGCAAGCTTGGAGCTCCGGGCCATGTTCAGGCTCTGGGGCTGGCTGCTCCGAGGTCTGCAGGGTAGTAGGCCCAAACTGAAAAGAAGTCAGTTTCCGAACCCGAGGCATGACCACGGCAAAGCGCCCAGAGCGAGCCTGGCACGCCTCACCCGCCTGAGGCAGAGGCGCTGGGGGCCCGGTGGGTGCAAAGGGGGCCGGGGCTCTGGGCAGCGTCTTCCAGCGGCGCCATGGTGGCCATGTGGCCCTTGCCTGGTCGCATGTGGCCAGTGGGTATGAGAGGCTGAGCCTTAACACCTTCTGCTCTGGGGCCACATCCTTGGGAGATGTCAGGATACAAGTCTCAGGCTCTGTTGGTGCCTCGAGCTCCGCGGGAGCAGCTTCTTCGGGCTGTTCAGGGTCTGGGGAGGCTGACTTGGTGAGCTGTCCAGGCCCCGGGTCCTGGTGTCTGCCCAATAATACACCGGTTGAGTCCGAGCCTGGGTCCTCAGACTGGGGTGCAGGAGATGGCAGGGGGCCCACGTGCTGAAGGAGGGGATTCTTGGGCAGAGGGGATGGCCTGGAAAAGCCTCGAAGGCTACCCACACCTCCGGGCCAGGGGGAGGGTGGGCGCTGGGCGGGAGGCACTTCCACGTCCCAGATGGGGGTCAGTGGAGGCACGGTCCAGGGTGTGTCAGCGTCCTCAGGTTCCTGCTGGCTCTCCCTGCGCTCTGGGGGCCCGGCAGCCACGCCCCAAGACCCTGCGCGGGAAGGCAGGCGGAAGGGCTGCAGTACTCGCGGCCTCACTGCTCGGGTGGGGGGCTCACTGAGCCGCCGCCACGTGTGCGGGAAGCGCGAGGGTAAATGGAGGGAGCGCTGCTTTGGGCGGGGGCCCAGCAGAGGCGGGGGAGAGGGTGGGCGGGGTGAACCCAGCACAGGCGAGCGCCCCGAGGCTCGGCGTGGGGCCAGGGGCTCCCGCAGCGATTGGGGCCGGCGAGGCGGGGGCGGGAAGGGCGGCTGGAACGGGCCCCTGCGGAGGGACAGCTGCGGGGACAGGGGCCCTAGGGGCGAGAGGTAGCCTGGGCCCGGCAGGCTCCGCAGCGAAGGCTGGGGCGAGGGCAGGGGGCGCCAGGCGCGCGTCCTCG